AATTCTTGTGGGTGTAACCGCGTTTGTTGGACATTTTGCGATATTTTCACCATAAATTTACGCCTCAGTGATCACAAGATCTGTTTAAAGGGTCAGTGGTAGTAAAAAAATGGTCTGTGAGTAATGTTTTTTATTTTAGACTTTTGTATCCAAGGGCCACTGTTCTGGTTTTTGAAATAAATTTTTCATCTTTTCAGGTGTTGTGACAAAATGGTGTCACCTTACCTTGCCCTTAAACTACACATACTAGCCTGTCCAGTGGATATCCTGTCAGCCTAATGACTTGTCTGCCTAAAGGCTATATATATGCACTGGTCTGTCTAAAGGCTATATATATACACTGGTCTGCCAAATATCTAAAAGTTATTAACCTTGATTATGCAATTATAATCATGTGTTTCACGCCAAAGATATTATGCAGTCTTTCAAATTTGTTTACAAACACCACAGTACTGAGACATTCCTGTTGCACCTTTACATTGACCTGTTTCTGAATATGGATAGAAAGCCCTCAGTAGTACCAGTGTTCATAGATCCCGCCGTGGCATTGAACATGATTGACAAATCAAGTATACTAGATCATGCGGATTGTGTAATGTACTAAATTGGATACTATCGTATTTGAATGATCATCATCGGCCTATTTTACTTCAATATGGTGTGGAGCCAGGATCGTTTATTTGACCGATCCGATTGACCACTTTAAAAACAAACTTATGGATGTTCAGGATGATCAAGTGATATACGGTGTTTTTGTTCGTGGGATGAATAAGCATAAAATTACTTTTTAAGTTACTGCCCTAAATACTTTCAACATCTTGTGGACACCTAAAGCTAATTTCTGATTGATTTGAAATTAAAAAACAGTGTTTATGTGAGGATGCCTTCTCACTTCATTACCATCTGATTGCCGGTGCATTTGTAGAATAAATATTATAACATCAGTAAGAAAAAAAGTTGGATCCGCGGTGGTTTAGTGAGTAAGATGCTGGCGCGCTGACCAGGAGGTTCGCATCCGATATTGGCTGAGGAAGGTCACCGGGGTTTTCCGACATGTTTTCCGCTTGTCGGTGATGCAGGACAGAGGCTCTGGCAAGTAACAGTGTCTATTTCGTAGTAGGATATTAAATAATTAAATCCCATTTCATTTCATTTCATTCCGAAGAACTAGAAGCCGATCGAATTTTAATTATATCTGATTATTATCCTGATACTGTTTATTAGCCCACATGTTGTTTTGGCGCATATAGTTGTCGCCTCGGTTCGTCGTCAACAATTGTTTGTTAAGAGTCTTGGACGGATTTATTTCAAATTTGATGAGAGGTCGACACCTACATGTATTCAGTTTTAGCACTCCTCGGTCTTTTGTTCCCAGTTATCCCTCGTGTGCACAAACCTTGTTAGCGCGGCTTTGGCTACCGGTTTTAACTGAATTATTTTTCCAAATTTAACGCATTGGAACCATGATGTCACTATCCATCCCTATCGATTTCCTTGTGAAGCATTGGGTCATGAGAGAACTACACCTACCGATTTTCAGCACTCCACAACCTTTTGTTTGTGAAAATTTGGTTTGAAGCATTAGGGTCATGAGAGAACGATCCTTATCGATGTTAAGCTCTCGACGACCATTCTATCTTTGTGCGAAAATCTTGTTCGAAAACCTGGATAACGCTTCAATTTTGCTTCAAAAGTTGGGGTCATCAGAGGATAAACCCCTATAGAGTTTCAATGTTCCGTGACCTTCCGTTCAGAATCCCGTCCCAACCCTTTCTGCTTCCGTTGTTATAGACTACCTTTCTTTTCAAATCTGGTGCGAAGCATAAGGACTGCCAGAAGATGGATATTTCAAAGATATTTATTAATAAAATAATTATGTTTGTTTTCATTGTGAAAGTGACTATATGCAAATGGGTATATTTTGTTTTCGAATAAAAAAACAAAAACTGTGTAAATATAAAAATGATCTACATTGTATTATAAGTGTTTCTTCAACAGTGACCACCCTGCAAAGAAAAAAAGGATATATTTATTCTTGTAAAATTAAATAAAAAAAAAATTAAAAAAAATACTACTGAATCACCAAAAATATTAAGTATTACGTAATCTTTCTTAAATAAAAATGGCCTGAAGATGTTCAGTACGTACGAACAGAAAGCGCTAGACGTTAATTTAGTATTTTGATGTCTTTCTTTAATTTAGTTTGACAATTTTAAATATATGTTTATATCCCAAAGGTATAAATCGCGTTCTTAGTTTGACTTCTGGACCCTCTGGAGGTCACAATTTGTATACGATTTTGTCAAGTATATGTACCGAAAATCACGTTCTTAGCTTGTGGACGCTTTAGTTGTAGCAATTTATTTTATTCGATTTTAAAAAATCGAGACTTGCCGTTAAATACGCCAACAGTTTCAAGGCATTTAATACATATACCAAGACTGTGGATCCTCCGATTTAGATAGAACTTACAATATATGTTAAGGATCTGCAGATTCGTGATTGTGTGCATCAGAGGACCTTCCGTTCCGGAGTTATGCCTTCTTTCCCTTAAAAACCTGTAAGCGCGATAGATTTGTTTTGTAGTTTGAAGTATTGGGGTCATGGGAGGACGAATCCTATCGATAATCAGAGTTCCGCGACCTTTCTTTCCGCCGAATTATCAAATTATTGTGTTCATGCTGCAGCGTTTCGCATCCTTTCGTCCCGGTGTTATTCCAAATTGGCCGAAAGCCTTCAGACGACACTTGAAGCTACTGTTTTTAAAAGATTTATTTCAAATTTTCCGGAGTTACCCCCATTTCCGAAAACATTGTGAAGGCGATATAGGCTACAGTTTTTAACAGATTTTTTTTTCAAATTCCAATAGAACCATTGGGATAATGAGAGAATGAGCCCTATCGAGTTTCGCTGTTCTCCATCAAATCAAGACAATTGCTAACGCCATTAATTTTCTGGATGCTTTTACGGTAGTCAGAAAGAAAAGATTAAATAAAAATACTTACATGACTATGATAGTAGTATCTTCTACGTGCACCAAATATGATAACTAGGACAATGATGATAAAAATGACGCCACCGACAGAGCCAGCAATAATTGCAACACTAGTTGTTCCACAACCTGATATTTCATCTGAATTATCACCACAATTATTATATCCATCACATGTTAGTCCACTCCAAATACATTTATTATTACTACATTTAAACTCATTTGATGCACAGCTGCCTACAACAAAATAAAACGTTCATAGTTAGAAAGGCTGTTGAAACACAACTGATTTAAGAATGATACGATAAGATAAGGTTGATGGATTATAAGACTACATGTTCCCGTTTTATTTTATGAGACCCTACTTGGAAGTTGATCAAATTTGATAAGGACCCGTTATGCATTCAGATGCATTCAATAAATTTGATATAATTATATCGTGTTCACAAGCTTGAAAAAAAACCAACATGTTATTCTTATGCGTATAAAATCCTTACATTTTCCAAGTTGAAATTCGTCTGAAATTACTGTATGTTCTAGAAATTGGATGAAATGTACTTAATCTAGAATTTCTCAATTTCTAAGTACTATGACATGAGTTTTATACATTGACTGCCTTGGCTGACGTGTATTGTCGTCACCTGTGCTCTTCAAGCATTTCTTCAAGGATAGTGATCCTGATACAGGATATTGTTACATACTGTAACGATTTGGAAATAGCAGATGAATATCATTTTGTCTTAGTCTGTAAATCCCACACAATTTTTATACCCTACATTTCAGTGTCGGCGTATTATATATGTCGTTACCACGTCTGTCGGTCCATTGGTTTGTCAACAATTGGCTTGTAAAGACGATAGAGACTACAGTTTTTAAGGGATTGTTAAAAGTTTGGTGTGATGCATTGCGAAGATGAAACCTATGGACACCCGTTGCCCTGTGACTTGCCGTGTCGGAGTCATCCCTTCCCCTTTCCGATAACCTTGTTAACGCGATAGAGGCTACAATTTCTTATGGATTTATTTTCAAATTGGAGTAAGGGGGGGGGGGGGAGAGGGGCGAACCCTGTCGATTTTCTGGGCTCCGCGACCTTTCGTTCCAGTCTTATCACCTACCCTATGGGTACAGCTAAATTTATCATTGTTACCGATACACGTTTTGTATTATAAATGTGAGGAACTTGTAGAACTAGTGTTTATATCCCAAAGATCTCGACTCTTTTCGATATTCGCCCATACCGGACCGTATATAGAGCTTACAATTTTTATTTGATTGTTAAAAGAAAAACGTTTAAATATACAGCCGTTACACCATAATTACGGTTGAGTTCGAATTTCGTGAAAATAGGATCGAAACTTCCCGTCTAAAAGACAGCTCCTCTTTAAGCAAATAGTGTAAAATCTTGTACATTTATTACCAAGGTTGTGGGCTCTCTATAGGTCACAATTTTTTATCCGATTTTCATGAAACTTGTTCTTTGTTCAAACGAGTTAAAATGGACCAAGGCCGTAACTCTAGATCATTCACGTGATTTAACGAAGTGGACAAAGGCCAGTTATTAAGGGAAGGACTTCTTCATTTCACTAACCCCGAACAATGCATATAAATTTACAAAATAGGCTTAATATTCGTCTCATCAATGTTAAAACCATAGCAATATTGTACTTGTATATCTCACGATTGGGAGGTTTCAAATGGTGTGTTGTTTAGTGGACCAGAAACATGGTCCAAAGCACTACTCATCTTGTTGTTCTTCTTGGAAAAAAGCCTCAGTGTCAACCAATTCAATTACGATTAACACGAAACTTTGCAAGCTAAATTTATTGGACAACTGCGTATCAATTGATGGACTTCGATATTTGATATGTAAATAATTATTCCAAGATGATGGTGATGACGACACGCTTGATTCCTGGTCTATGAAAAAACATCCTACTTGTTTTACATTCAGTTTTAACAACATACATGTACTTACCATTTACTGAACTACCGTAGTTGAATGATGTTAAGAGGATGTCAAAATCGCCAGTTTGGAATAGGGAATTTGTTGTAAAATCTAAATATATAGAGTCTCCTGTTGATTGGTAAACTTGATATGGTGTACTAAACCCACAAAATCCTTTTTGAGGTCCTGAAATATTTTAGTGTCTAGATAAAATAAACAATCACAATTTAATTAGTACAATAATAACTTGCTTTATGTAAGGCACAATGTCACAGTCATTGTCAGGCACAAATTCGGGTTTTGTTCGGCACGATCCCCCAGAGGCACGTCATTTTGTTTGGCGCATATTTGTCTTTTTTTCTGCGTTCTATTGATATTTGTAATACCTGTACGGCACAAAGTTCAAAATGCCAGTTACTAGTTCCGTAGGTGTCGGACATTTTATCAGGTACAACTAAAATCGTTATTATCAGTCATTTTTATATAACTGATTCTGAAATTTAAATCTCGAAAAACGAATATCAGTTCAAACGGTATATGGTCAAAACACGACAGCACAGCTATAATCTTTGCTGAAAGCTTCTGATGATCCTCTTTTTAATCCAGCTAAATCCAAGCTAGGATCTTATCTACCGTTCATAAGTTGATTTTGTTTTCTTAATTAAATCTTGCATAATCAATTTGAGTTAATTTCATCGAGGATTAGACAATGAATAAACGCGATTGTAGCCCAAAATTAACAGATTAGTGAACAAGCGGTTGCCATGCAAGATACGCCCACATTTTGCAAGAGATGGACAGAGAACAAGCTCAAAAAAGAAGTGATTTTTTCGTACAATCAAGGGCCATAATTTAGGAAGTTATGATCCAATATGTGCGAATATCGAAAGGAACCAAGATCTTTGGGTTATAAATATGTATTTCAAGTTTCATCAAAATCGGATCAAAATTGTGACCTCTATAGGGTCCACAACCTTGATATACCATATTTTTACGCTATTTGAGAACGAACGGCGGCCATTTTGTCTGTCAATTTTGGGACGATTTTCATGAAATTCGACCTCAGCTGTTTTTAGGGTGTAACGGTGATCTAACAATACGTTTTTTTAAACCGGATAAAAATTATGACCTCTATAGGGTCCACAAGCTAAAAACGCGATTTTTCGTACAATCATGGGCCATAATTCAGGAAGTTACGGTACGATATGCGCGAATATCAAAAGGAACCGAGATCTTTGGGTTATAAACTTACATTTCAAGTTTCATCAAAATCGGACAAATATTGTGACCTCTATAGGGTCCACAACCTTGATATACCATATTCTTACGCTATTTGAGAACGAACGGCAGCCATTTTGTCTGTCAATTTTGGGCCGATTTTCACAAAATTCGACCTCAGCTGTTTTTAGGGTGTAACGGTGATCTAATAATACGTTTTTTTAAACCGGATACAAATTATGACCTATATAGGGTCCACAAGCTAAAAACGCGATTTTTCGTACAATCAGGGACCATAATTCAGGAAGTTAAGGTCCGATATGCGCGAATATCGAAAGGAACCGAGATCTTTCGGTTATAAAATTACATTTCAAGTTTCAACAAAATCGGATAAAAATTGTGACCTCTATAGGGTCCACAACCTTGATATACCATATTTTTACGCTATTTGAGAACGAACGGCGGCCATTTTGTCTGTCAATTTTGGGCCGATTTTCACGAAATTCGAACTCAGTCGTCCTTAGGGTGTAACGGTGATATAATATTACGGTTTTTTAAATCGGATAAAAATTATGACCTATATAGGGTCCACAAGCTAAAAACGCGATTTTTCGTACAAACAGGGGCCATAATTCAGGAAGTTACTGTCCGATATGCGCGAATATCGAAAGGAACTGAGATCTTTGGGTTATAAACTTACATTTCAAGTTTCAACAAAATCGGATAAAAATTGTGACCTCTATAGGGTCCACAAGCTAAAAACGTGATTTTTCGTACAAACAGGGGCCATAATCCATGAAGTTTCGATCCGATACATGCCAATATCGAAAGCAGCCGAGATGTTTTGGGGATAAAGCTATATTTCAAGTTTCGTCAAAATCGGACAAGAATTGTGACCTGTAGAGAGTCCACAAACAAATTGTGGACGGGCGGACGGACGTCCGGACGGACAGGGGCGACGACAATATACGTCCACATGAAAATGTGGGCGTATAAAAACAAATTATGCCTGTAACAAGCCTATATTGTACCAAAGTACAAGGAGTTCTTGATAACGCTGTATGAAAAGTTATACTAGAAATACGAGAAGGTCGGATTAATGGACTTTCATGCTAATGGCCGATGGCCGTGATAACGAATTGACCTATGTACGGGACTTTAACTATGGACACTGTATTTAATGCTAGATATACGGACTCGGATTAACCACAGGAGTCTGACCTTCTATCCGTGTATATATCCATACACCATGTCCAACCAGACAATATATAATAAACAAAGAACAGGAATGATTTGCATAAATACTACCACAAAACGATATCATAGCCACTTGTTTCCAATATTTACATTACTTTCGTCCATGTCCATTTTGTCACTGCCGCCATGCGCTGACGTCACACAAAAACCTAACCAACCTCTGGAGTCTTGTATACGTCCGCCTAAAAATGATGAATATTCACCAAAACCTGGCAGAAAATGTATATACAAACCCTCTTCTTCGATTCTACACCCAAAAGTCAACAAAATTCGCCATGCAAAAGGGGGAAAATGGAAAGGTGGAGAAAAACTAAAAATATCTTTGGCACTTGTTTCAATGGTCTAGTCACTGCGGATTGATTTTGTGTGACGTCAGCGCATGGCGGCAGTGACAAAATGGAAATGGACGAAATTAATGTAAATATTGGAAACAAGTGGCTATTATATCGTTTTGTGGGAGTATTTATGCAAATCAAAACGACTAGATTGAAGAAAAAACATATCTGAGTGAATCGACAGAGGTTTGATTGCCTAACATTACGAATTGTTGAAAAAAAACGAGCCGAAGCGAGAGCAGGTATATCGAGTCTTCAACAGGCATTGCATTCCTGTTCTTTTTTATTATATATTGTCTGGTTTGACATGGTGTATGCATATAAGGTCAGACTCCTGTGGATTAACTAACTAACGTAGTAATAGTCCTGCATCAGGTCGACAAACCTTGCAATATAGTCCACCTAATGCTTTTTTTTCTTTTTTTTTTTTGATTATATATCTTCAATATGTGTAGATTCAGAATCCGGATGATGCCGCACAGGTGCCTTTTGGGAAATTTCAATTTTCAATATGGCCGCCAAGGCGCATTTTCTTGTTATTTAGTTGGGTAAAATTCGTGACAAATTCTCTCGGACTTTGATTTGAAGGTGGTTTCTATGATAAATCGACCTACTGAATCCAATGAGCTTGGTTATCCCTCCCGAAAGTGACGGTTAATTCCGTTAGGGTCCAGATTCAATATGGTGGCTCATTTTGAATATTTAGATTTTCCCAAGGGTGCCAGGGTGGCATCATCCGGATTCTAAATCTATACATATTGAAGATATACGTGTACAATCCATCAAAAACATTAGGTGGACTATATTTCCATGTCAAGGTTTAAACTGGGGTTTCGCTTACTGGCAAGAAGGGGAGATAAATTTGGTTGTAGGAGAGTTCACAAGATTCTGCAAAGTAAAACAAGGGACATACATCTAGAAGTGATTAAAAGAAATGGTTGAAAAATTAAATGAAATCGGGTTTAATGTCCCACTGTTCTGTCCCGAATGGGCTGATGAAGACGGGAATACGCCATAAAGTGTGCTACGAAGGAAATTTTACCCAGACAATGGTGCTATGAACTTCTCTTGTATCGAATTCCAACTGTCAAGGATCTTTTACGCGCACTTCAATGTGTATACGGGACCTTGGTTTTCGTCCGGTCCGAACAACTATACGTTGTTCCTTGCCAGGCCCTCGGGAAAATCCAGATGAACTTGACAGCTTTTGTCGTTAGAGCGTTCACAAGGTTCTATAATGTGATACAAGGGTCATACCTCTGGAAATTGTTAAAATTCAATATGATTATTCGTTTCACTAATTCAAATAATGCTTATAAATTTAATACAGATCGGATGATAACTCCTGTTAGTGTCCACAGGGTTCTACAAAATGAAACAAGGGCCAAAATTCTAGAAATTGTTGAAGTTTGTGTCACTAATTCAAATAATGCACACAAATTTTATACCGATCATATTATAACTTGTGTCGTTAGATGGGATGTTTTTTATAACACAGTGTACACGTATACGGGCATTTGGGCAATGTGCGGTGGACAGTAAAAAATGGACTTTTAGACTAGATATAAATACTGACAGAAATTTTTTTTATGAATAATGGGCCGAGCTTATACGTGAAAGATGCTATATATGGAATTTTGATAAAGAATAAAGAGAATTTTACAGTAAGTGAGTAATAACTAAAATAAACGTAATCTATACCTATTGCTTGTGCTGTAACGCCATCAGTTATTTTCAGACTGTTTGTTGTACACCTGGTTGAAAGTTGTGTGTCAAGATCTCTAAATTTAATCATAATATGATCACTGGGTTTGACTGAAGTTACTGCTAAATGACAACTTAATGATCTTGGTAAATAGCTTGATGAATATCTTGACAGTCGAATCCTCACATCATGAGAAAATACTACATTATTATTACATTTTTCTGTGAGATAATCTGAAAAAGTCAGTAAATTCAATACTGTTTTAACAATATGCAGTTGTATTCTAAAGTAGTAGGTATACAGAGTAGACAAATTAATATTTCCCAAATTATACAGCTACTCGAAGTAGCAGAAATTACTGGCACCTTTTGATTCCTAACCAAATCCATTGTCCAACTCGTCTATTATTGTAATTTTTACGCCATACTGTGTGCTATGAGGGAAATTTTGCCCGGACAGCGGCACTACGGCCTACTCTTATATCGAATTCCAACTGTCAAGGGATCTTTTACGTGCACGCCAATGTGTACGCAGGACCTCGGTTTATCGTCCCATCCGAACGACTAGACAGCTGTCCTTGTCAGCCCCCCCCCCCCCCCACGCGTCCTGCATCACTGACAAGGGGGGAACCACGCCGGAAAATATGGATGAACTTTCTCAGCTAATGCAGGGATCGAACACCCGACCTCCATTTTTATTGCATAATTGTGTAATAAAAGGAAAATATACATACATGATAAAGGAATATAACCTGCTACAAAAACAGATCCCATTAATATGAGAAAGCAGTTCAAACTTATTACTCCAACCATTTTCTTCACGTAGTAATAGGACATGGGTTGCTAGTGGTTTTATCTGGTGGTATTTATATAGTCTGTAGGCAATATTTCGTTAGGCCTATATACACTAGTCTAAAATCAACTCACATGATTGCAATCTATTGTGAAACGTTTAAATATGTACAAAGGTTAAGGCAATCAATTGATAAACAGTGTATGATTAATAAGCTTATTGGTGATTTCCTATCTTTTATATCTTGTACTCATTTATTTATCAGTTACATAGTGAGTTTGATTTTCTTTTGGGGGCGTAGGGATAAGTACATCAAATAACCTACTAAAATAAGACGTGTTTCGACACGTGATGTCTGGTCAGGTCATGCCTTGTCATGACAACATTCAAGTTACAAAATGAACTATTAAAGACACATCCATTTAATCGTTAAATCGCGAAGGAAAGTTATGCAGTAAATCGGCTCATAATCCACTTAAGATGGCAGGCTAGCGATGCCATCTTGAGTTGGTTGTGGTCTGGATAGGTTAATAATGTCTAATTAATAATTTAGAAAACATTTCAGGCCTAAAGAAAGACCTGCAATAGACAGATTTAGCTCTTGCATAATGTATGTTTAAGAATAGTAACATACAATACCTATTAAAGTGGAAAAACTGTCATTTTGAACTCTTAAAGGGGCAATGATAGGTAAGATTAGATAAAGAGCTGGCAGTTCTCGGTATAATAGTTAAATATAGATCAAGAAAATAGAATATGCTGAAAACTTAAGTCAAATTGCTTCACTCTGAACCGAGATATTAGCGATTCAATCTTAAGCTAGCTCGATCGTCATTACTACCGTTGGTACGATACTAAACAAAGATTTTCTCAAGCGATTAAAAGATACACCACAATTCCTACCCCAAAACTCATTTTTTTGTTATATGGATGTAAACTGTCGGTTCAAAGTTAGACTCTCGTTTCCATGTACGCGTTTCCGCAGGTTACATGGAAACGCGTCCATTATTACATTTAAATTAGACTGGATTTATCGCCGGCAAAATCGCGCGCGGAAACGCGTACATGGAAAAGGGGCCTTTGGATGTAATTATCCCTGCACGTATCCCGGTAAATGGGAAGACGAATTAAAACAGTCAACTAACGCGAACACCTGTGATATTTTGTTGTAAAATTAATTAGTATGCCCCTATATACAATTGTACATGGATAAGAATCACACATAAGACATAGTCTAACCCGTTCACGGTGTCGAAAGGATATACCTGTCATATGAATAAAGCGGGTGTCATTAATATTGGTACACGCATGACCAATTGGTCTCTTGATAATAATACGTCTTTTTAAATTATTAAAAGGACAACAGGGTTGGGCGGGCAAAGTCTTGTTCCGAAGTACAATATTGCATGTTGTTTGTGTTTATTTCACCTTGGGGCTACGGTAGTCAAGCTGTAACACAAGTAAACTTCCCGCTACCAATGGTAGCTTATGTTAGATGTTCGAATCTTGTTACGAGCGCTGCCACCACCGAAACTTCATTTGAATAAATTTGACTCAAACGGCGGAAAAAACAAGTTGACCGAGGATAATTCAAGAATTTACTTGGGCTTCGATATTTATGGTAAATGAACAGCGACTAACGACAAATACGAGCTTCCAATGGATTCGTCATGTAGTTACGTGACAAACATAGCTTCGTAAGATAAATTACATGGGAATTTTTCTTGTGATAACAAGCCAACAGTGAGGTTGATGTCCCCCACCGAAATCTCAAAATAAATAGATCACACATGTTGATTAATTGCACATTTATCATTTTCAAAAGTATTGAGCAATCAAACTGATTAGCTATGCTTAGTCTAAGCATAAAATGTTCACGATCAGAGTATCTGGTAGTGAAACAGAGTTAATATGTTCCAAAGTCTTGACCAATCAAATTGCTTATCGCTTCTTAGCCTAAGCAGAAAATACTCATTATCGAACTTAGTCAAGGCATTGGTGTAATGAAAGTATACACCAAGTTTCATCACACTCACTTGATTAGGACTAAAGTTATCGTGTCTCAAAGAACAAACCAATCAAATTGCTTGTCTCTGCTTACCCTTAGCAGAAAATGCTCCTCTTGGAACTCTATAAAGGCATTTACCTAATAAACACCTAGCGCAATTAGAAGGAAAGTTATTGTGTCCCGAAAAGTTTGACGGGCAGACAGACGGGCGGACTGACAGACTCGTTTTAATCATCCCCTGCTTTCTTCGAAAGACGAGGGACAAAAATGATTTGAGAGGAATTAGAATCAGACTTTTGATCGCAAAATAAGTTTGATTATTTGTTTAGTCCAAATATATCATGAAACCACTGGTGACATCTTTAACTACATTACAATAACTTTTTTTTTTAATAAACTACAGCTCTCAACTTCAGTCAGAAACAACAAATAGGACCCAGAGAAATAATAAAACTTAAGTTTTGGAATTCAAATCAAAAGTTGGCCTAAACTGTGCTGTATATCGAGATAAGAGATGGCACTATATTATAGTTCTTTCTGGGAGATGTCGATGTAAATCACGTCGAAATTCTACACGCAAAACTGTCAATTTTTTCTTCCACACAACTCATATATCTGCCACACCCAACCAAGGTCTAAAATAACGTGCTTTGGAGCACGAACATGCTTCGAAATCAAAAACCCGTGCCTCGAAAAAATAAAAACGCACTTTAAAAAAAAATAATAAAAACCACTAAGGTAGCGATGCCTCCTGACCCCTAATGGGTGTTTCCTCTTGTTGTTGTAAGTTGCACAGATCAGATCAGATCAACTGACGCTCGATCGACTCCCTCGGATGAGTCGACTGAGCGCCAGCCACATCAGCTCACTAGACATGCTTTTCAGTAGGCCTGGTGTCCGATCCGCTGCGTTCTTGATCGTCATTTCAGTTTTACTTTGTACAAGTTTTGCTTTGACTTAATTTTCTGCGATTTTTAAGTATTGAAATATGGATGGAAAACCGGAGCTTGATCCACCACAGCCTAAAAACCAATGTGGGCAAGCGACATTGATTTTTTTCCAGAAAAAATGCCCTGCAGGGTCGAGCAAGTTTTCATGCGAAAAAGTCTGCGCATAGTCAAATAAACTCCTATGTAAACTGCGCTAGTATTGTTCAAAGATGTCGTTTTTCAGCTCTGAACATCGCACCTCCGACGGGGCCGGCGCTCGCCGTTGGGCACAGAATCAGTGCCACGAGAATTTAACCTTATTTTAGGCCCTGGTCGGCCCTATGTACTGTTAGATTCGTTTTCGTTTGTTTGACGTCTTACTTTATCTCGGTTAGGGGGAAATGGTGGGTGGCTGATCGGCGTCCAAGTGGAGTGGAAAACGATGACAGTTGGGAGGAGGGGGGGGGGGCAGAACCCGGAATGCCCGAAAGCATTTCGGGTTACAGGCGGGGGCGCTGGTCTTCTGTGAGAGCGAAGCTTACCGTTTAGGGACTGTTGGAGAAAATTTGAGAAAATTAGACGGCCGCAAACGCATTTCCTGCTATTCCAACAACTTTAAAGTGGTCCAATATAGTCTAATTAAGATGGCTGACTGGAACTCCAATCAATCAATCAATCGTTTACAGACCGCGAAGACGGTACCGTCGGGAGAAAATTTAACTGTCGCAAACTTGTTTTTCTGCTATCACAGCAACTTTAGTGTGATACATATAGCCTACCGCATACGTGACTGACCTGAATCCCAAACAAACTTTACTGCCACAAACGTGTTTTTCTGCTATCCCAGCAACTTCAGTGTGGTACATATAGCCTACCTGATGATGGCTGACCTGAATCCCAAACAACCAATTTTTATTAATCGTCGTGGAGTATGTGGGCCTCGCCCTCCCGGAGAAATCTAACCACCGCAAATGTCTTTTTCTGCTATTCTAACCCGTGAGTTAAGCAAATCTAAAGTTGCCCTATGGTTTTGTAACCGAAAGCTCACTCTATGCCGACCTAAATTCCAAATATCCAACCAGACTGTTGCAGCTGCATTCATAATTAATAATCAATGCCCGAAAAATGTCGCAAAAAGTAGATTGTCTCCCGACAAAATGTTTTAGTCGATAGTCAATTCAGTACAAATTCGTGATATTCAATTAAAAGTAAAGTAAAATTAGTGTCTTATTTTAGAGATTGGACTTTATTTTGCCATCTAGATGAAATAATCATTTTTTTTCCACTTTACCCGTCTGCCCGATATGTAAGATTGCCCGAAAGTTAGGGGGGGGGGGGGGGCTGCCCAAGGAGTTGGGAAATGCTAGTGCATTCTCGATTATGCCCCCTCCAATCAATTAAAAGTACACCCGTTACTGCTCTGGCTGGAAATTGTCAGAATAAGTAAAATTATTTAAATCCCCCCAAAAATAAAATATTTACTGGTATTATAATTCTGTCAGTGGGAAAAGCGAATGATCTTTCTCTAGTGAGTATTTTATGCTCTGAGTCCGGCAAAATTCCTGATGGACCACTTGCAGAGGGTTAGTTATGTCGGGGGCCAAGTTATTGATTATATGACCCCAAGACTCAGGTATAGGACCTAGTATTCAGATGAGGAAGGGAGATAATTATTTTAGACAAAAACACCTTTTTGTTCAAATTAAGTAAGACAGCTTGTTGTACAGCGATTATTTCAAATTTCACAAATCTAATTTAATGTTTCTCTTTGAATACCGACCCCCCCCCCCCCCTTCCCTTTTTTTAAGAGTCCCTTTAATAGAATTGAATACACGTCACATTGGAAGAATATACCCCCCCCCCCCCAATGAAATAGGAAAGAATCCCAAATTTAGAATGATAATGGCCAATGAAAATCGACATTCGATAGCGTTATATTCATTGTGACGTCACAATTAGTATGACGTCACAATTTATTGTCTTGTAATATGGAGCAAGCATAATCGATAATATTATAACGATATTATCACTTACACAGGTTTATTTTAGCGGAAAAAATTATCGAAAATATTTTAAATACAGAGTTTTGACTTCAGGTAAGTAATGTAAACTATTTTTAATTTTTCTAAAATCTGTCTCGTTTATTATACAGTAAAAGAAAGTTAATAATGCAAATAAAATGAGTGCCGGTCGTTGTCATGGCGCTAATTGTTCATTGACCACAGATTAATTTCTTGATGTTTTAGCTATTTCAAAAGCGATAATACGACATTTATTTCAGTGCACAATATGTGGATAATCGCGCCTTCTTTTCGTCGTCTTTTATTTCTGTTTTCAAATCTAACGCGAAAATATGGCATTCAAAAACACGAAACACATAAAGTAAGGAAATATGAAATGAAATAACTTTACACTTTCACTTCATAATGTGCCACTGGATTTACCAAATTAAGCAGTAGGTCTATACAAAATGTGGGTGTGATCCAGTGGTTTAACGCGTGTGCGTGAAACCATAAAGTTTGTAAATTCCCTGTTTGTACGTGACAAGGAGTAGGATCGCCTGTCCCACCTCGTGGAGTTTCTTTGGGCCCTCCTGTTTCCCCTGACTGCTAAATAACACTACGCTCAAGCAAATTATTTAAACAGAATGGATACATACATTAGTCCCAAAATGGCATTGTGTCGAATGAACGTTAAACCCCATGTCAATATCTCTCTAGACAGAAAGAGAGAACAATCAGGGATAGATTTACCTACAGACTTGGCAGACTGAAAACATTGGGTCCTCAACACATTGGGGCATCCGGCCAAGGTGTATAATATTTTTGACACTTTCCGTAGCCTTTCTTACACGTACCGTAGTCTTAAACATCCCTCACTATCCCCGGCTTTGCACAATTGTGTTTAAAGGTCACTTTCATTTTTCTCCAGTCGAAAGGGTAGGGAGGTATCAGGCGCCTCATCTAACTCCGTCACTGGGGACAATATGACCAAAATTTATATTAAAACGCTCAATGATAGGTGAAAATATCTACTAGCTACATACTAAAGATTTTCACTGAAATCTTTTGATGAGCCTCTTTTAAATCAGAGCGAATCCATGCCGGGAGATTGTCTATCGTTGATATATCAATTTTGTTTCTTGATTAAATGTTGAAAAATTCATTTTAGCGCGGGTTAAGACGTGACAAAAACAAAATAAATAACAATAAAAATCAATATTGACCGATAAATGCCAATGAATATCTGCGACTTCGTTTTGGGTTTTTTTTTTTAATGAGAAATTTTAATATGTAAACTTTCGTTTGTAGTTATAATGAAGTTCGGAGTAATGCCTTTGTCCTTCGGGAATTCACCAACAGAAAGTAAAGAAAGCGAAGACAGAGAAATAGAAGGTCGTGTTAGAGAAGATATAGAAATTGGAGTTATGGAATCAAAAGATGAAGATATGAAATCTGCAGAAGAAATAAAAACAGAAACCAACGATATAGAAACAGAATATATAAAAACAAAAACAGACGATAAAACAACTGAAGAAGATATACAAACAGAAGACATCAAAACTGGAGATTTAGAAAAAGAAACAGGGGACATAAAAACCGAAGATATAAAAACTAAAGATATAAAAACAGAAACCAAAGATATAAAAACTGAAGATATAAAAACCACAGAAGATATAAAAACTGCAGAAGATATAACAACTGCAGAAGATATAACAGCAGAAGATATAAAAACCGAAGATATAGAAACTGAAGATAGAAAAACTGTCGAAGATATAAAAATCGAAGATATAAAAACTGAAGATATAAAAGCAGAAGATATGAAAACAGAAGGTGTGGAAACTACTGAATACATAAAAACTACAGAAGATATAAAAACCGAAGATATGAAAACTGAAGATTTAGAGACAGAGGATATAAAAACTGCAGACGATATAAAAACTGCAGACGATATAAAAACTGGAGATATAGAAACTGAAGATATAAAAACTGCAGAAGATATAAGAACTGCAGAAGATATAAAAGCAGAAGATATAAAAACTGAAGATATAAAAACTGCAGAAGATATAAAAACTGAAGATATAAAAACTGAAGATATAAAAACTACAAACGATATAAAAACTGAAGATATAAGAACTGCAGAAGATATAAGAACTGCAGAATATATAAGAACTGCAGAATATATAAAAGCAGAAGATATAAAAACCGAAGATATAAAAACTGAAGATATAAAAACTACAGACGATATAAAAACTGCAGAAGATATAAGAACTGCAGAAGATATAGGAACTGCAGAAGATAAAAAAGCAGAAGATATAAAAACCAAAGATATAAAAACCGAAAATATAAAAGCAGAAGATATGAAAACAGAAGATATAAAAACTGAAGATTTAGAAGCAGAAACAAAGGATATAAAAACTGCAGAAGATATAAAAACAGAAACAGATGATATAAATACGGAAGAAGATATAAAAACAGAATACATAGATACAGAAACCAAATATATAAAAACCGAAGATATAAAAACTGATGATATAAAAACAGAAACCGAAGATATTAAAATTGAAGATGTAAAAAGTGAAGATATTAAAACGGAAGAAGATATAAAAAAGGAAACAGAAGATATAAAAAACGAAGATATAAAAACAGCAGAAGATATAAAAACTGAAGATATAAAAACAGGAGATGAAGAAGGTAAGAAAAAATGCATTACTTCTTCTCACCTGCACTACTTGTTCAATGTTTTTGAATGAGAAGCTGATACCACTGCCCTTCTGAAATTCACTAATGTAATAACTAAAAATACCAGATGGCTAGGCTGTCTATATTATTTTCACACAAATTTTAACTTGACATTGAAACCGTCACACGTATATAATAAATAGATTAAAACGCACTTCCATGTCTAAATAAATGAAATCGGCTCTCACGTCTCGTCGACACATTATCTCGAACATATGGAGACTGACATGCTGTTATTTTTTATTTTTATTTAAAATAATTACATGTCATGGTTTTATTATTATTTAATTCAGACGTTGAAATAGCAACATGTCCCGAAGACCTCGAGAATGGATTGGAGCCAGGATACTTCAAAAAAGAAGGGAGAGCATTTTGCCTGAAACATGGCAAGATATTTGAAATACACAAGAAAAGTGCACAAAATCAGAAAAACAGAAAATTTGTATTATTAGGTGTCATTCCAGGCGGCTGCAAATCAACAAAAAATCAAAAGAAAAGTAAGTAACCACACGTAGATATGGGTATCATGTACGGTCAGAGCGGGTATGCTTCTTATATCCCCAACCCAACAGCTTTCCACATTAGACGACTCAGCCCATAACCGAACAGAGACACGGGGTTGTGTTCCAACGGTTTGTTAACAGGTGATAGTGATGCGGAAATCGTTTACATATGGTACACGACAACCTGGTAAGTGACAACGTATAGCCGTTCGGATGGAAGGAAAACCGAGATACCCTTGTATACATTGGATTGCACGTAAAAGATCCCATGACAGTTCGAATTCCATGTTAAAACATAAAAAATATGATGGAACAGAATTTAATTTTTAACCACCTGTTTTGATCTACATATCTTTATTCTAATTTTTCAGTCAGCCCATATGTTCTGATGGACCTGTACAGAAACAGCACTTCCCCACCAGAGAATATCAAACCCTATTTGTTGGTAAGACCAGAGGTCAGAATAAAGATACACACTGACACAGTTCGTACAAATATGTTTGGACCGCATCCGAAAATGAAGAATGTACCTGCACCAGAGTATAAAGAAGAAAAAAATATACAAACAGAAAATACAGAAGTAAAATGTATAGACACAGAAAATACAGAAGTAAAATACATAGACACAGAAAATACAGAAGTAAAATGTATAGAAACAGAAAATACAGAAGCAAAATATATAGACACAGAAAATACAGAAGTAAAATGTATAGACACAGAAAATACAGAAGTACAATATATAGAAACAGAAAATACAGAAGTAAAATATATAGACACAGAAACAGAATGTACAGAAGTAAAATATATAGACACAGAAAATACAGAAGTAAAATGTATAGACACAGAAAATACAGAAGTAAACTACATAGAAACAGAAAATAAAGCAGTAAACTACATAAAAACAGAGAATACAGAAGTAACATACATAGAAACAGAAAATACAGAAGTAAAATTCATAGAAACAGAATATAAAGAAGTAATAGATATAGAAACAGAATATAAAGAAGTTAAATACATAGAAACAGTGTACAAACAAGTAAAATATATAGAAACAGAATGTAAAGAAGTAAAATACATAGAAACAAAGTATAAAGAAGTAAAAGATGTAGATACAGAATATAGAGAAATACAAGATGTAGAAACGGAATATAAAGAAGTAAAATACATAGAAACAGTGTACAAAGAAGTAAAATATATAGAAACAGAATATAAAGTAGTAAAATATATAGAAACAGAGTATAAAGAAGTAAAATATATAGAAACAGAATGTAAAAGAGTAAAATACATAGAAACAGAGTATGAAGAAGTACAAGATGTAGAGACAGAATATAAAGAAGTACAGGGTGTAGAGACAGAATATAAAGAAGTAAAAGATGTAGAAACAGGGTATAAAGAAGTACAAGATGTAGAAACAGGGTATAAAGAAGTACAAGATGTAGAAACCGAATTTAAAGAAGTAAAAGATGAAGAACCAGAATATAAAGAAGTAAAAGATGTAGAAACAGAATATAAAGAAGTACAAGATGTAGAAACAGAGTATAAAGAAGCAAAAGATGTAGAGACCGAATTTAAAGAAGTAAAAGATGAAGAAACAGAATATAAAGAAGTAAAAGATGTAGAAACAGAATATAAAGAAGTACAAGATGTAGAAACAGAGTATAAAGAAGCAAAAGATGTAGAGACCGAATTTAAAGAAGTAAAAGATGAAGAAACAGAATATAAAGAAGTAAAAGATGTAGAAACAGAATATAAAGAAGTACAAGATGTAGAAACAGAGTATAAAGAAGCAAAAGATGTAGAGACCGAATTTAAAGAAGTTAAAGATGTAGAAACAGAGTATAAAGAAGTAAAAGATGTAGAGACAGAATATAAAGAAGTACAATATGTAGAAACAGATTATAAAGAAGCAAAAGATGTAGAAACAGAGTATAAAGAAGTAAACGATGTAGAAACAGAGTATAAAGAAGTAAAAGATGTAGAAACAGAATATAAAGAAGTACAAGATATAGAAACGGGGTATAAAGAAGTACAAGATGTAGAAACAGAATATAAAGAAGTACAATATGTAGAAACAGATTATAAAGAAGCAAAAGATGTAGAAACAGAGTATAAAGAAGTAAACGATGTAGAAACAGGGTATAAAGAAGCAAAAGATGTAGAGACAGAGTATAAAGAAGTACAAGATGTAGAGACAGAATATAAAGAAGTAAAAGATGTAGAAACAGAATATAAAGAAGTACAATATGTAGAAACAGATTATAAAGAAGCAAAAGATGTAGAAACAGAGTATAAAGAAGTAAACGATGTAGAAACAGGGTATAAAGAAGCAAAAGATGTAGAGACAGAGTATAAAGAAGTACAAGATGTAGAGACAGAATATAAAGAAGTAAAAGATGTAGAAACAGAATATAAAGAAGTACAATATGTAGAAACAGATTATAAAGAAGCAAAAGATGTAGAAACAGAGTATAAAGAAGTAAACGATGTAGAAACAGGGTATAAAGAAGCAAAAGATGTAGAGACAGAGTATGAAGAAGTACAAGATGTAGAGACAGAATATAAAGAAGTAAAAGATGTAGAAACAGAATATAAAGTAGAAAACAACAGAGAAACGGAAAATCAAGACACACAAATAAATGCACTAAGAGAAGAAATCGATGTGATGGAAATAAAAACACAAACCAAAGAAAAGGAAGATAGGGGAATGGATAAGGGGGATATAGAAGAATCGGAAATAGTAATGGAATTGGAGGAGGGGAAGAATGATGGAGCAAAAGTTGTAGAAGGCAAAAAAGAGAAAAATAAAAGCAATTTCCGTAAATTTTTTATCAGAGTGGGAAAACGGCTTCGAAAATTGTGTACTTGTGGCTGTGCTAAAAAACAAGCAGATTGAGAAATAAAACGAGGGAGGGGGAGGGGCAGGGTAAAAAGAAATGAGAAACATTAATTTTTAAAAGATAAAGATACAGAAGGTACTGAGGAAGCTGTAGAAAGAGACTGAATAGAGTATTGACTCTAAATGTACATAAAACAAATTTGTAAATACATGTATTTATTTCATAAAAAAAATTGTTGTTCTATAAATAAATTATAGATATTATACCTGTGTAGATATATTTGTCATAGTTTTTATGGTCAGTCAATCAGGGATATATTTCTAGATAACTTAAAATAACGGGATATTTACGAGTAGCTGATGTATCAATCTCATTAGTAGATTAATTTTCAACACAACTATAGGTACACACCATTTCGCCCGTCTAACCATCATCAATGTCCTGTTCAATTCCAAGCCCCACCCCCTCCCCACAAAAATAAAGAGAAAGAAATCAATACTGGCCCTGCTACAATTTGACTGTATTCCTGACAGAACGGTGTCATTGATTCCCGATCAAATCGCTGATTGATAAGCGGTTAGGTCAAATGTATCGCAGCTCAAGAAAGATGAAGTATGCAAGTTATCAATAATTGCAATATAAACTGATAAACTTTTAGGTCGAATGTATCGGTTAGGTCAAATGCATCGCAGCTCAAGAAAGATGAAGTATGCAATATATAATCGCAATATATAAAGTGTTTATACATTTATGGAACCGTATACCCCCTTAAATGGATGCTCTGGGCCGTCGCCCCCTCTATACACACCACTGTTATAGACACTCTTAGGGAGAGTGGTTTTACAACATAGGTTAAGTCGATTTTCCCAATCCCTTTCGGATATCTTGACCGAATACAAAATAATATTGTTTTATTTTAATAACAACTAAATATCGACCTCTAGGGCCGGGGTTCCCATTTGTGGGGTCGCGAAACCAATTTAAATGGGGTCACTTGATACTTTCGCCACGGTCGCTAAATTGCCATGGGATCGCGACTGATTTTGAGTTTCAATCCCTTTTTGTGAATTTGAGGAGTAAGTTTCTTCTTCTGAAATGCTCGCAAAACTGGTTTCGGGCAATCATGTTTTGAAAACATTCTGGGGGAGGGTCCTCATACCCCCGCGACGGCGCTGGTCGGATCACTGCTGGTCGTTCAGAATAAGTTGTGGGGAAACCCTGCTCTACGGTTATCATCCGGTTGACTTGAAAATTATAAACATTGTTTATCTTCTGAAGAGGTCGATTGTATTTCAAAGATTCCCCACAGTTACGTTACGCATTATATCCGTTGGGGATGCGTTAGAAGCTAATGTGATCATATAATTGATTTATGTGTTTATGTTCATGAACGAAAGAAAGAACTTGAAAGAAGTCTTGAGCTTGTGGACATGGATGCTCTTGAGCATGGGCTTCACACATTGGGGGGGGGGGGGTCCGATCCCCCAAATGTTTTTCTGGGGGGGGGGGGGTCTGAATATACTTGGACGCCCCCCCCCCAAAAAAAAAAAAAAAAATTTAAATAGTGTAGGCCCTAACTCCTATTTATTTACAACAATCGTTAAGATTCTATTTGTATAAAACCTGTACATATCCCAATATGGTTTACATTGCTAAAATAAAACACAGAGATAATCATCCTGGAAACATGTGTGAAGTGAAAAGTAACTGTGTTCCATAAAATTGTGTCTTGTTAGCCTGTCAGCAATATTTTGTATAATTTCACGCATCACTGCTGCTTATGGAAAAAGGGCTGTTCTTTTGGTATACTTTATACATACGGTACAAGCTACTAATGTACTTTAATAACCCCTTCCTTATCAGTTTGTGACCATCAAACTTATGTTTACTTTTTTAAATCCATTTATAATACACAAAATGTACAAAATACTTTAAATATCTATACAACTTTCTTGTAAATGTCAATGTGTATATGTATATAGTATTGTAGTTAACAAAGTGATGGTCAAATATGCATCCTCATAAACTAAAGTTACGTGATCAAGTTTTGTTTCATTTGGATCCTCCTCATAAAAAATTCCCCTACTAAACTCTCTTTGTCGTGTTGTTCATAACTCAAGCCTAACATTCAATATGTAAAACTATAAAATTAGAGTTTTCTTTTCGAAATTAATGAAATTACGACTGAAAATAATGTTTATATTGACATTATTTGAAAAACTTCTCCTACTTTTTATTTTAAAGTCTTTGATCAGATCCTCCAAACTCAGTTTACGAAACATATATATTTACATGGTAGCCAGTCGTTGTATTGCGATTTTTTAAAATATACTTCAACAGCGGGATTTTTCGTGAACGTTCCAAGCAAGTGTTTATTTTGCTTAATGGTAAAGTCAGCCCTGACTTAAGCCATATATTGATTTATCATTTGATAAAAAGTACTTCAAGGTAAATTATTGGTAGACGGGCAACATTGTACTTTAAGGTCGTGTAGACTGTCCTGTAGATGTTCACTAACTCTTAATTAAGGGGTCCACGGTGGTTTAAAGATATGACAGTATGCAGGATAGCAGTCGAAAACACCCCGGTCCCGTATATGAAGATGAAGCAGTTACTGAGCTATGGTCATTTTAATATTGACACACGCCCATTTGGCCCGATCGCCAAAATTAAACGGGGCTTATCTCTGTAACCGTAGTCCGATCAAGCTAAATAAGCATAGGCGCTATATATCAATAATCAGCAAAGTAGAAGGGGTATATTAAAATAAACACGACAGTGGGTGCTTGATCGGCGTTCACGTGGAGTGGAAAGCGAAAGTAACTAGCTAGTCAGACCCGGTCATAGCTGTCTTGGGATTTCCAATGAACTCAGTCTGTGATTAGTCGGCCCCAAGGTCTAAAATAACTTGCTTTGGAGCACGAACGTGCTTCGAAATCAAAAACCCGTGCCTCGAAAAAAAGAAAAACGCACTTTTAAAAAAAATAAATAAAATAAAAAAAACACTAAGGTAGCGATGCCTCCTGACCTCTAATGGGTGTTTCCTCTTGGTGTGGTAAGTTGCACAGATCAGATCAGATCAGATCAGATGGCGCTCGATCGACTCCCTCGGATGAGTCGACTGAGCGCCAGCCACATCAGCTCACTAGACATGCTTTTCAGTTGGCCTGGTATCCGATCCGCTGCGTCCTTGATCGTCATTTCAGTTTTACTTTGTACAAGTTTTGTTTTGACTTAAATTTCTGCGATTTTTAAGTATTGAAATATGGATGGAAAACCGGAGCTTGATCCACCACAGCCTAAAAACCAATGTGGGCAAGCGACATTGAGTTTTTTCCAGAAAAAATGCCCTGCAGGGTCGAGCAAGTTTTCATGCGAAAAAGTCTGCGCATAGTCAAATAAACTCCTATGTTAACTGCGCTAGTATTGTTCAAAGATGTCGTTTTTCAGCTCTGAACTTCGCACCTCCGCCGCTCGCCGTTGGGCACAGAATCAGTGCCACGAGAATTTGAACTTATTTTAGGCCCTGCACCCAACTACCTGACAAGGGTATAAATCATCTCTTTTAAACCGAAGCGTTAAAAGTTGGCTTTGTCCAACATTTTAAAACTGAGCAGGTTTGGTGTCTGAAGACAGGGCTCGACTTATACAAAGGGAACTCACAAGTAGAGAACCAGATAACAAACCTTAATCTCTCAAATCAGTGTATCTCAGCGATTTTAGTTACGTTCTCGTAGCTAGTAGAGAACCTGTATAAATGGTCGTTCCAATTTGGTTCAAAAGACTGCTTGATTAACTTGATCGACTGAAATAATTTGCAGATACACAAAAGTTGTGTCACTACATTGGGCCGGGTATGCTTAAACATACATTATGCAAGGGAAGACACTAAATTGAAAACATTACAGCTGTTAAACTTGCTCGGTGAAGTCTGTTATGTGACTCATCAGATGTGGATGCAAGAGTGACTGCTCATGTAGCTGCACTAGGGATGGCTTAGAATATACAGTATTGTGCGCTTGTGCTGTCACAGTTTGCAGCCAGAAATACGACTAAAGGATTAAATTGGATATTACTATGTTTTGTGGAGATTCCTATTTTGCGGGTAGAATTTGGTTTTTTTTAAATGCTCAACAACCAGCTTATGCCTCCCTTTTCAGGGCCGACCCATGTGGTCCTAGAACCCCTGACAAGAATGTATGTGGTATTATCCTATCACTCTTACGGTACTATGTCCAGAAGTATATAGTTGTTCTAGATATAGTTTGGTTTGGTGAAATAATCGCCCACAAACGCCGCTAAGAAGTTAAAGGGCCATATTATCTGGCATGTTGGATTTTACTATCCAGAAATATATAATTTATCTCTAGATATAGTTGTTTTGTTGAAATAATGGCCCTCAGCGGCCACTAATCAGTTAAAGGGCAATATTTTCTGCATTTTGGATTTTACTATCATCTAATCACCCCACAACATAATGAACGATTTCATTGTATTCCTGGACCCAAGAAATGTACGGTTAGACACCAAAATTATCATTCTAGACTAAATATTATAGGAGTTATTGGGGATTATTTGAAATGGTGACGGTCTTAGACGCCATCTTGAATTTATCAATATTATCTAAGGAAGAAAGTGGTGACACCTATTATATAATTAAAAGTATAAGTAAAGCTAAAATTCTTGTATATACAGTTATTTTATTGTTTTATAATACAGATGTTTTATTTACATAATGGTAGTGATGATAAGTAATGATACAGGAATAACAGATCTTAGCTAACCAAACCTGCAATACACAAAAAATAGTAATTAGTAAACATTTCCCTCAACACCTCTCTTGTTGACAAGCAAATATTTCTCTTATCATAATTAACCCATAATATTCTTCTCAAGAGGTCAAATAAATGAAGAGGTCAATAGCATGGATCATATTTGGTCTCATAATATAATAGTTAATAAAAAAAAAAAAACCCAATAAAAAGATAATAATTTAATTTCTGGTATTTAATATCATTTATGACCAAAAGAGCACTGTGTCTCTATAACCCTTAATATTTGTCTGCTGACCTTTTCTTCTAGGAAAATGATACAAATTCTGTACTTATTTTTTTCTTCAGTTATAACGACATGCATATTTTTACATTCCTTGACACATTCATTAATTTTGATACTTGAATATTCTAGACAGTGTTATTGCAAGACTTCATTCAGGGTAATTGTAAGTGAATTTTATTGTTTGTACGGTTATGTGTACATTGGCAAAACTGATATTATCATGGTAACAATTATCTCTGTAACCAAGGCATCATTTAATCTTGCATATTTAGCCCCTATTTCTTTCACATTGTTTGAAAATATGTAGATATCGTCTAAAATCACTCCAAATCATCTAATTTGTATTTGTGTCCAGTTTAAAGCTGACCATTTAATTTTGATAATGAGTGTCTAATTTGCAAGCATTTAATTTCCCGATCACTGTTCCAAAATTTTGCCCGGGCAGTAGTACTATGGCCTACTCTTATATCGAATTACAACTGCCAAAGGATCTTTTATGTGCACACCAACGTATACACAGAGCCTTGGTTTTCCAGGCAATCATTCCTGCACCACTGACAAGAGGGGAAACCACAAATCCGGGTGAATTTTCTCTCACCAATATTTTTGAATGAATGAATGTGAAAGAAATTAGGGCTAAATAAACAAGATTAAACGATACCATGTTACAGTGTTTTATCTGTTGACTATGAAAACTAGAATAACTAATTACATCAGACATAAAGATAATAAAACCTAAACCTACCTAGATAATCATCCATTAATGTACCAATAGCAAACTGTCAAAAAAATAAAGTAGATATTTAGAGTACAGTGATGAGGAAATAAAAAAAGTTCAAGAGATTTTACATCCCATGCAAATTAAAATAGTTAGAAAGTTGAATCTGTTAAAGGAATACAATCCTTCAAGTGATTCAGTTCTCGTTTGGATATGTAGAGCCAGCACCTTACTCAATGTAAACTCCAATAGTTCATTTGTATATTTATTGTAGAACCTCTTTAATTAGAGTTAACTTCACAGTAATAGATATATATATTAAAACTTACTATATCCTTGGCATCAACTCTAGTTCCTACTATTTTGATTCTTATTTCATCATCTTGTTGTACCACAATATCCTAAAAATAATCAAAATAATTTCTGAAAAGATGATCATGAAACATTAACTTTCTTATAAATAATCTAAACAAATCAGACATTAATCAGATAATGAGGAAACTGTTGACTCGGCACAAACAAAGTAGGGTTGCCTTACTTGCCTGTCCAACCTTGTGGGTTTCCACCAGGGGCTTCCGGCTTCCTCCCACTGCTCAAGACCCCTACGCGCAAGAGAGTTATTAAAATACAATTGAACCCTATGTTAGTTCCAAAATGACCTAGTTTGTGTCGAGTGGACGTAAAACCCTATTTCTCTCTCTCTTTTATATCTGGGATTCACCTAACATCACTGATGCATCTATCTTCGAATTGATCACTGTTGATTAATCTATTGTTATATTAAAGGGGTGTTATGTTTGATAATTTATGAGATGAGCTCTACACTGTACCTATACAGATTTAAATAAATGTGACTAACACTACAGATACACCTCTGAAAATAGTTTACCCTTTGACCACTCAAATACAAATAGACCTTACATATAATAAAACAATTAATTAAACAATATCACTTACTTCATCTTTTGTTTTGTAACATGGTGGATTTGAGTTTGGATCAAATTCCATATCAGCTGGAATAGACTGAAAATAGAGATGTGTACATGTAGTGTTGATATATTAAATAAACTAAGCCTCTATCTCATTATTTTCCATAATAGAGAAATTAAAAACACGAATTAGAATTCAATATTGATGATGTTATCTTGCTATGGAAATGGGAATATTATTATACAATACACATTTTATAATCAGAAGGCTACACTAATGGTAACGGGTACCATATATAATGAGCAAAGAAAAACATATGCTACAAGACAATACAGAAGTAATGGCTGATTCACAAACAACAAAATAATATTAACCAGCAGCTGCCAGGCAGGATACGCCCACATTTTCGAGAGATGGATAGAAAACAAGCTAAAACGAAAGTGATTTTTCCTACAATCAAGGACCATAATTCAGGAAATTACAATTCGATATGCGCAAATATCGAAAGGAACCAAGATCTTCGAGTTATAAACTTACATTTCAAGTTTCAACAAAATCAGATAAAAATTGTGATCTCTATAGGGTCCACAACCTTGATATACCATATTTTTACGCAATTTGAGAACGAGGGGCGGCCATTTTGTCTGTCAGTTTTGGGCCGATTTTCGAACTCAGTCGTCCTTAGGGTGTAACAGTGATATAATAATACATTTTTTTAAATCGGATAAAAATTATGACCTCTATAGGGTCCACAAGCTAAAAACGCGATTTTTCGTACAATCAGGGGCCATAATTCAGTAAGTTACGGTCCGATATGCGCGAATATCAAAAGGAACCAAGATCTTTGGGTTATAAACTTACATTTCAAGTTTCAACAAAATCGGATAAAAATTGTAACGTCTATAGGGTCCACAACCTTGATATACCATATTTTTACGCTATTTGAGAACGAAGGGCAGCCATTTTATCTGTCAGTTTTTGGCCGATCTTCACGAAATTCGAACTCGGTCTTCCTTAGGGTATAATGGTGATATAATAATATGATTTTTTAAATCGGATAATAATTATGCTCTATAGGGTCCACAAGCTAAAAACGTGATTTTTCGTACAATCAGGGGCCATAATTCAGGAAGTTACGGTCCGATATGCGTGAATATCGAAAGGAATTGAGATCTTTTGGTTATAAACTTACATATCAAGTTTCAACAAAATTGGATAAAAATTGTGACCTCTATAGGGTCCACCATCTTGATATACCATATTTTTACGCTATTTGAGAACGAACGGCGGCCATTTTGTCTGTCAGTTTTGGGCCATTTTTCACAAAATTCGAACTCAACTGTCCTTAGGGTTTAACGGTGATATAATAAAACGTTTTTTTAAATCAGATAAAATTGATGACCTCTATAGGATCCACAAGCTAAAAACGCGATTTGTCATACAATAAGGGGCCATAATTCATGAAGTTATGGTCCGATATGCGCGAATATCGAAAGGAACCGAGATCTTTGTGTTATAAACTTACATTTCAAGTTTCAACAAAATCGGATAAAAATTGTGACCTCTATAGGGTCCACAACCTTGATATACCATATTTTTACACTATTTGAGAATGAAGGGCGGCCATTTTGTCTGTCAGTTTTGGTCCGATTTTCACGAAATTCGAACTCAGCTGTCCTTAGGGTGTAACGGTGATATATTAACACGTTTTTTTTTAAATCGTCCATTTTGTCTGTCAGTTTTGGGCCGATTTTCGAACTCAGTCGTCCTTAGGGTGTAACAGTGATATAATAATACATTTTTTTAAATCGGATAAAAATTATGACCTCTATAGGGCCCACAAGCTAAAAACGTGATTTTTTGTACAATCAGGGGCCATAATTCAGGAAGTTACGGTCCGATATGCATGAATATCGAACGGAATTGAGATCTTTGGGTTATAAACTTACATTTCAAGTTTCAACAAAATCGGATAAAAATTGTGACCTCTATAGGGTCCACAACCTTGATATACCATATTTTTACGCAATTTGAGAACGAACGGTGGCCATTTTGTCTGTCAGTTTTGGGCTGATTTTCACGAAATTCGAACTCAACCATCCTTAGGGTTTAACGGTGATATAATAATACGTTTTTTTAAATCGGATAAAAATTATGACCTCTATAGGGTCCACAAGATAAAAAACGCGTTTTTACGTACAATCAGGGGCCATAATTCAGGAAGTTATGGTCCGATATGCGCGAATATCGAAAGGAACCGTGATCTTTGGGTTATAAACTTACATTTCAAGTTTCAACAAAATCGGATAAAAATTGTGACCTCTACAGTGTTCACAAGCCAAAAACGTGATTTTTCGTACAATCAGGGGCCATAATCCATTATGTTACGGTTCGATAGATGCCAATATCGAAAGGAACCAAGATCTTAGGGTGATAAACCTATATTTCAAGTTTCATTGAAATCGGATAAAAATTGTGACCTGCAGACTGTTCACAAACAATTGTGGACGGACAGGGGCGACGACAATATACGTCCACATGAAAATGTGGGCGTATAAAAATAATTTGGACTATTCACATATTTCACTGAGCACAATTCATTAGATATTACAATAATTTTTTAAAAATTGAATATAAATCACTTTATATATTATATTCCCTTTACATCAATATGTGCTCTTTGAATCATTTTTGGCTATTTAAAGCAGCCAAAGAGGGTGACCCTATGCCCTTTAAACAAAAAGCTGTAAGATAAAATACCAGGATTTTATTGTGTTTTTCTTGGACAGGCAAGACACAAAATAGCTAATACCAATTCCAACAAAATTTTAAATTAAATATTAAATTTGATGAAGGGGCATATAATGTTTTTAAAAGTTGATTCTAGCAGCTGTTATTGTCATGCATCTATTGTTAAAATACAGAAAGAGGTCAGCCATCCCATTTAATGATGAAATGGGTTTTAACGTTCTACTGTTCTGCTCCAACTGGGCTAATGTAGACGGCATACACCATACAGTGTGCTATGAGGGAAATTTTGCCCAGACAGACAAAGGTGCTGCGGCCTACTCTTATATCGCATTACAGCTGCCAAGGGATCCTTTAACGTGCATGCCAATGTCTACACAGGAACTTGGTTTTTCGTCCCATCCGAACAATTAGACAGCCATTCTTGTCAGGCTCTCCGTCCTGCAGAACTGACAAAGACAACCATGTCGTAAAATCTAAATGAACTTTCTCGGTCAACACCGGGATTAAACATGCGACATTCAGGCTAGCAAGTCAGCGTCTTACTCACTTAGCCATCGAGGCTCCCCATTTAATGATGAAGAGAATGGGACTTAACAAAGGGAAGTTGATGATCATGTGCTGAGTGGTCTGTATATTTTTTGGGAGTTTCATCCCATACCAGCCTGAACATAGACAACATTAACATTTTTGAATTTGAAGTATAGTTGTAGGAAATTGTATAAATGAAATGAAAAGATTGGTAAATAATAGTTTAAAAGGTTATAACTTACGTGTCGAGAAATAAAGCAAGATAATGGTCCAACTTCTGTAAATAGGCCAACCTAAAATAGTGAATCAGAAAATTATTGGAGAAACTTAAAAAATCATATTGTTCAAAATAATAGTTATCAAGCAATGGTAATTTGCTCAAATGCATTGATTTCTGATTAGAGAGCTTAAAAATTAACAGAACCCAGATTAAATAACATGTACCATTGTATTTCATAAAGAACTTGGAATATAATTAATAATTCCTGGATACACTTCTAATTCACACAGCTAAAAGTTTATTGATGCAAGAAGGGGTAGGCATTTTTGTCTAGAAACTCACTACTAATTCTACTGGCATATTCACGCAGCTAAAATTAGCTAATATTTACCTTGTTTACTTGGGTAACAACTGCATCTAATACTTCACCTTTGAAAGGTCGGAATACAATGGCTTTATATCTTACTGGATATAGTACAAAACCTCGACTAGGCTGAATTAGACCAGCACCAATATTATCAATGGTTGTCACAGCAATAACAAAACCATACCTATTGTGAACAAAAATGTGGACATATATTGCCATTATCTTGATTTGTAGATCTGTCTATTGTCTAAAATATCTAGACCACTTTGCAGGTCAGCGTTCTTTAATGATGTTTCTCAAATTAGCGGAAATAGTTCATTGGGACATAAAGGAAGAGCTTAAAGATCCATTATGGGAGATTAGATAGAGAGCTGGCAATTCACACTATAATTGTTAAAAACTAGATAATGTAAAGGCAATTTGCTGAAAGTTTCAATCAAATTGATCAACTCTGAACCGAGATTTTAGCGATTGAATTTTGGGTCTAGCCTCGATCATCATTATTAAAGTCGGTACAACAAAAAACATAGTCTCAACTATCCATTTTTTGATTCAATCATCAATGAGCGTTAAGCAGCAGATAGGATTCTAATCCAGAAAATATCGCAGGCTAGCGATGCCATTGAGAGTTGATTACAGTCTGGATAAGTTAATTAATGTCTAATTAATAATTTAGATAACATTTCAGGCCTAAAGAAAAACCTGCAATAGGCAGATTTAGCTTTTGCATAATGTATGTTTAATATGTATGAAACTTGTAAATAGAATAAATACATGTATAGGTCAGAGTTATCCCTGAAATTTCAAATTTCGGTATAGTTCTAATCTTCCTTACATTACGAGTTACAACTAACTGAACGATTGCTGCAAGTTTGATAAAAATCCAACAAGAACTGTCATGTGCAGAGTCGTCACAATACAGACAGACGGATAATGGTAACAACAAGATGCATGTACCTGTATGTACAAATCAAATGTGAGCATATAATAAAAAATAGTCTTAAAAGTTCAAATCGCTTTCTACTCATTTCATCCTAGATCCCACCATCTTTATCATCTTAGACATGTCAGTCAATGACTGAAGAATAACTACAATAAACATGAGTTCAAAAGGTCATTTATACCAGGATTATTAACAGTCCAAAGTACTTGTAAAGAACACTTTCTAACATTCATTTTTGTTAAATTTAAATAAGGGGAAAAAATTATTGGTCTTCTGGTGATGCATTATGGTTTAGAGGAGCTAAGTCGCTAATATTTGGGACCTAGAAATTGACACAAATGGGTCGCAACGCATACAATAATGTAATATGAATGTATATAAATTGATTTACATTCAATCGTTTCTGTTTTTACTGTAATTTCTAATCAGTTAGGTTCGGTGAAATACGCCAGTATTCTCAATCAAATTTCAATCTCTAGCGTCTGGTTATTCCAGTCTACGCCGATAGTATTTATTGGGCATGCTCTCCAGATAAGAATATAGCGTCACCGTTTGACATGACTTGTGGAATATGCCTAGCCTCGTTTTTCGAGTCCCTTATGACAAATAGCGCCGAAATGCATTATGGTACACGATTCGTCTACCAATTGTAAAATGTTTATTTTGTCTTAAATAATGGATATCAGAAGGCCATCTTTTCCCGGTAAGATCACAACATCAATGTTGATTTAAACTGACAAATAAATCGTGTTTTCAATGTCGAAGATTTTGGATGATATTGAGTTAGAGACTTTTCTACTTTAAATTCAATCTGATTAAAATACAGATCCTATTTCGTTTCGTTTTTATAGTTCAAAATTTCGTTTTACTTGTCTTTACTACATGTAGTGTAGGCCATCGAAAGTATAAAAAACGAAACGAAATATAGATCTGTATTTTAATTAGATTGGTTTAAATTGTTACTTACTTTCCTGTACATGTTCCTTCTACTTCTGTAAATAATTTTTGTTTCACTGTATTTAAGAGATTGGGTCCAAAATATCTAGGATGGAGAAGAATTTCATGCTCAAGAGAAACCTGAAAGTAAACAGATAAGAATCTATTTTAAATTCTTGTCTAATGTCTTCAGGATGTAATACTAATAATATCCATTAAAAGATTATTGCTAATACCAAATTATTCAGTCATAAACAGTTATCAGTGGGATATTAAATGAAATAGAATGGGGTTTAATGAGCTACTTTTCTGCCCCAACTAGGCTAAATGAAGATGGATACACCATGCATGTGACATGTCCATGCAGTGTGCTATAATGAGGGGAACTTTTCAACAACAGCAGTCTACTCTTCGCTGAATTCCAAATGGATGTCTTATATTATCTGTGATGTCACTATTGTTTGAAGCAGACATTAAAATAAACCACTAAAAGATAGATACATTGGCATGGTGTATGCTGGTATCAGTATCAGAATTACATATACATGTATTGGCACCAACAGTCCAATATAATTACAACAAGGACAGTTGACTGCAATGGGAAATAGTAGAGAAAGGCTAAACGTTTAGAAATAACAGAAATAAATAAATATTTCTTAATAAACGACAAACTTCAGTCCTTTGGAACAATATAACTACAAGTCTATAACTAATATACATGTAGAGCAAAGCTCTAAAGCATCACGCAAGGCGCGGTGCTTGAGAAAAGCTCTTTTCCAGTTCCGGTAACACAAGAGCAGAACCGGATGCACTGCGCAAAACAGGCAATGGGGATGTCACCATAGTCAGAGCTACCTCTCCTTTATCAAATCGTGTATAAGCGAGATTAAGCGTCTAATCAATGACGTCACATATATAATTCTCACACTCTTTTGTTCTTTTTTTAAACAAAATTAATCGGTAATTTATCCAATACTCATCATACAATTTAGGTCTAAATTTAAATTATTTAACATTTTTTGCATCACTTAATTATGCAGGTTTGATACTTGACAACAATAATCAGCTTCGCTCTACTCAGGCAAAGCCTTTTACATATTATAACTTATATCAACAAGTCAAAAAATTTCTGGCCCACTGGCACTTCGACTACTTTTGAAAATAATTAGTTGTATAAGACTTGAAAGCAGCAACAAGTAAAAATAAATGAAACATAGGCTTGGATAAAATCCATTCATTATTGCTTATTGATGAAGGATATCTAAATAAAATTGCTTACGTGATAAAACATTTTAGAAAATATAATGTGCGCTTTCACAAGGTAATGGAAGTCGCCATTAATAATTTAATTTTCAATATTGAAAATAGAAACGAATCGAAATTAATTTTAATAATTCAACATGTTATTTTTTCTACGAAATTTATTAAATGGGTATACCAAAGATAAAGTAAATATCACTACCTTTGCAAAATGAATCAATTTTGAAATGAATCTGGTCATATGCATTTCAGAAAATGTAAAATACGAAATTTATGCGATCAAGGAAAGATAACTCTAGTAAACTCTAGGAAAAAAGGCATTGCACAGGCTTGGATGTGAAGTGATGGAAATTATTTCCGTGAATTAGTTACCCAGATTAAAATGTCACAAACCAAATAGAATAACCAGTAAAATGTTAAAAAGGGCATTTTGTACCCTGTCTATTTCAAAAAACAGTTTTGCGAAAGGAAGCTTTGGATACGACTTTAGTATAATCCACTTCAAGGTTATTCAGCTGATTAAATGATTGTAATTAATGTATATTTTGGAAAAGGCCTTAACCTCCTAAATGGAAATGAAATTATGAAATGAAATGAAATGGGGTTTAATGCCCTACTGTTCTGCTCCGAACTGGGCTAATGAAGACGGGCATACACCATACAGTGTGCTATGCGGGAAATTTTGCCCGGACAGCGACACTACGGCCTACTCTTATATCGAATTCCAACTGTCAAGGGATCTTTTATGTGCACTCTCATGTGTGCACGGGACCTCAGGTTTTTGTCCAATCCGTGGTTTTTCGTCCCATCCGAGCAATTAGACAGCTGTTCTTGTCAGGCCCTCCATCCTGCATCACTGACAAGGGGGAACCACGCTGGAAAATCTGGATGAACTTTCTTGGCCAATGCAGGGATCGAACACCCGACCTCCAGACTACACTAGGGACCGGGTATCATTCAGATTTGATGAAAAAAGGAAAGAAACTGAGCTTACCATCTATAATCTAATACACATATTCAGTTAATAGATTGCCATGCAGAAAGTATTAAATACCACCAAGATTCATTAAATACCACCCGTTTGTGCTACCGTTTAGTTTAAGAAACACCATTTAGTTTTGACATCAGTCATCTAGTTTATGACCATTTAGTTTAGTTTTGATATTGGTCATCCAGTTTATGACCATTTAGTTTCATAAACTAGACAACCGATGTCAAACTAAACAGTAGCACAAACTGGGCGGTTTTTGATGAATCTTGATGGTATTTAACACTTTCTGCATGGCAATCTATTAACTGGATATGTGTATTAGATTATAGATGGTAAGCTCAGTTTCTTTCCTTTTTTCATCACATCTGAATGATACCCGGTCCCTAGTGCTAGCGAGCCAGCAGCTTACCCACTTAGCCACCGTGACCCCCCCTCCGAAATGGAGTAGCTACCATCCCATAAGCTTATAGTAGTATATACTGTGTTAAATATTATGAAGAAGAATACTTATAAAGTTTGTATTTAATGAAATGAACAAAATAACAAAACTATAATGTTTTTGTTGCTTTCAGTTTCAGGACAAGGTATAGGGTCGCCTGTCCAACCTCGTGGGTTTTCCCGCGTCCTCTGGTTTCCTCCCACTGCTAAAGACCCCTACACACAAGTGAATTATTGAAATAAAATTGAACCATGTGTTAGTCCCGGAATGACCTAGTTTGTATCGGGTGGACTTTAAACTCCACCTCTATTTCTCTCTCAGAACAAAACTAACAGGCATATCCCTAGCTACCACGAAGGGGTTTTGTACGATTTTTTAAAACTTTTATCAGACTGAAGGAAATAACTATGCATAATTGTGAACACATGAATGTTTGTGTGTAAATATATATTGTTATTAAATTTTATATTTCAGAGCTTATCAACTACAACTAGATGTTTCCAAGAATTTACCCAAAGTAGTGTGGATACTTTAGATATTGATGGTATGTTAAAAACACAAACCTATAACAGAAATGGAATGAAATGAAATGAGGTTTAACGTCCTACTATTTTGCTCTGAACTGGGCTAATAACCTATAACATAACTAAAAACTTGTTTGATTTAGGTCAAAATAAAGTATATATTTATATATTTTGAAATGGATTCATCTAATTTAAAAAGTTTTTGATTAGTGATGGGACAATCTCTTTACAATTAAATATTTTTTCAAAAGATTAATTTAAACTAGGTTTATTATATTTTTTTAGTAATTTTAGTCAAAAATTTGTATTTTTCACCCAAATCAAAGAGGGAGTCATGATTGCTCAGTGAGTGAGTAAAGCTTTTGCTCACTAACCATAAGGTCCAGGGTTTGGCTGTGTTGGCTGAGAAAGCTCCCTAACAACACATGTCACACTCTACGATGCATGTCCGTTTTCATTAGCTTGGTTGGTGCAGAAAGGTAGGATGTTAAATTCATTTCATTTCATTTTATTTCAAAGAGGGAACATTTCAAATTGTCAGTATGCCCAACAAACTGATTGACATGTTTTTGGAGGCGGGGGGTGGTTAAATTTTTATTATCTTTTACTGATCCCAAGTGATGTATTTTTATACATCTGCTCTCAATGAGGTCATATAGTATACTATCGTTTCGCTCGTCAATTTTTCTGTCCACACTTTCTTGTACTCATTTAAGTTCTTGCTACCCCACTGAAGTCGAATAATTATTTGTATTTCAGGATCAAAACATTTACCAAAACAAAGATCATTACCAATTATTACATCACGAAAATTAGACTTTGTGAGTCAGTATTCACAACCAAAACAAGCTTGGCTAGAATCACTTGAAACTGTTGAGGAAAATAACATCGGCTTAATAGATCTTCACCCAGATGTCTTTGGAGCTTTCCCAAGGTATGAACATATTTTTTTTCTCTTTGTGGGGGACAGATAAAATTACAAAAAAAAAAGACTTCAGAACCCTGTGCAGACGTTGATCAAGGAATTTATAAAGTGTGGTTTCTAGAGCTGTGAAATACAGCAGCATCATAGAACAGTCCCCAATTTTGAGTAAATGTCAGCAGAGAGTATTGAATAAGCATTTATTGGCTTAGAACAGGCCCCAATTTTGAGTAAATGTCAGCAGAGCTTTGAATAAGCCTGTCTTGTCAGCTTGAGATTGGTGTGGCACACAACGAATGGAACAAGAAATGTTTATTTGAGATCTGCTAAAGCATTAATCAAATATATGACATTATTATAGGTTATCTATATTTTGACAAATTTCATTTTCATTTTAGGATAGATTTAATTCACCAAAATATTCAATGGCAAAGGTTGTATAAGAAAATAGTAAGTAAATATTTCTTATGGTACTTACAATATTTTCTGCACATCAATAAATACCTTGAAAAATAACTGTTAATGCAAATCACGCATGTGAAAGCCAGTGAAACATGTGATCTTCTAGAGTCTTTAATTCATAGCTCCTAGTGTTTGCTCACCAGCCTCTACATCTTTAGGTCTAAACGCTTGATGAGTGTTGTAAATTAGCCATCTTCAGAGAGCTATAACTTTTCATCATTTACATTTTTTTTTGTATTTCTGGCTTGAAAGATTTAAATCATGCTACAAGATTAAATATAACAATATTTGTGATTTATGCATTGCAAGCGTCCTTACATACTAGATTGGTTCCAAAATAGAGACTACTTCCTATAAGCATTAAAAAGACTTTTTCTCAGTTATTTATTCTAAATAATCTAAATGAAAACATCATTGCAAGAAGAAATATTCGTGAATATTTTTGTTTTAAAATAAAGACACAGTCTGTATCAGTTGGTGACATGCCTTATATATTCTGTACAGGAGGTCTTTATAGCCTCATCTTCAACCCTTCTTAAATAAAGTCATTATTATTGTCCCCCGCCTTTCGAAGAAAGCAGGGGACTATTAAAATGGGTTCGTCCGTCTGTCTGTCTGTCCGTCTGTCTGTCCGTCTGTCCGTCCGTCTGTCTGTCCGTCACACTTTTTGGGACACAATAACTCTCTTCCTAATTGAGCTAGAATGTTCAAACTTGGTGTATGTGTTTATTAGGTCAATGCCTTGATGGAGTTCGAAGATGAGCATTTTCCGCTTAGGGTAAGCAGAGATAAGCAATTTGATTGGTTGATGCTTTGGGACACGATAACTCTCTTCCTAATTGGGCTAGAATGTTCAAACTTGGTGTATATGTTGATTAGGTCAATGCCTTGATGGAGTTCGAAGATGAGCATTTTCCGCTTAGGGTAAGCAGAGATAAGCAATTTGATTGGTTGATGCTTTGGGACACGATAACTTTTAATTGAGCTAGAATGTTCAAACTTGGTGTATGTGTTTATTAGGTCAATGCCTTGATGGAGTTCGAAGATGAGCATTTTCCGCTTAGGGTAAGCAGAGATAAGCAATTTGATTGGTTGATACTTTGGGGCACGATAACTCTCTTCCTAATTGAGCTAGAATGTTCAAACTTGGTGTATGTGTTGATTAGGTCAATGCCTTGATGGAGTTCGAAGATGAGCATTTTCCGCTTAGGGTAAGCAGAGATAAGCAATTTGATTGGTTGATGCTTTGGGACACGATAACTTTAGTTCTAATTAAGTGAGATTGATGAAACTTGGTGTATAGTTTCATTACAGTAATACCCTGACTAAGTTCGATGATGAGAATTTTCAGCTTAGGCTAAGGAGCAATAAGCATTTTGATTGGTTAAGACTTTGGAACATAACAACTCTTCTTCTAATTGAGGTAGAATGTTAAAACTTGATGTAGATGTTCATCTTGACTTAGTTCAATGATTAACATATCGTGCTAAAGCTAAGAAGAGATAAGCAATTTCCTTGGTCGATGCTTTGGAACAAGATAACTTTGATTCTATCTGATAGAGAGTGATGAAACTTAGTGTATAGTTTATAATCAGTTGATTGCTGGATACTTTTGAAAAAAAATAGATGTGCGATTAATTAATATGTGTCATCTATTTATTTGGGGATTTCGGCGGGGGACATCAGCCTCACTGTTGGCTTGTTGTTATTATTACTAATCTGTCGACTGCCATGTGTATGTAACAATAGGTCTGGTGGCCATGGAGTAGAACTCTCTTTTTATTCATATTGACTGGCATTGAAATTGACTAACTGGAGAACTTACTTGTCTCAATTTACATGCCATAAATTTAGAATTTCCAAGAAATTAACCTTAAAACACAGTCAAAGTTATGTAAAAAGACTTGAAATATATAAATGATGTAAATGGGCTAATGCTAAAAAGTTGCCCTATTCTTTAACTATGTTAATTATGTTTTGTTTTTAGTCTTATGAAACCCTTCAAACCCGTGCAGAAAAAAGGGGTGGTGGTAGAAAGCCATGGCCTCAGAAAGGCATGGGTAGAGCAAGACATGGTAGTATAAGATCACCATTATGGAAAGGAGGTAAAATATAAAACTGTACTTAGAACTATATACATTTCATACATAAATCATTCAATAAATGGACATGAATAGGGTTATCTACCCTTATAAAACGAATGCAAAATGAAGGTCGTTTAATTAGTAAGACTGGTTTGTAAACTGCTTTTTGATTGGTTCGTAGACTCAAGCTACAATCAAGGCCAGAGCAGATAATTTGAAATCGTGGAAACCCTATGGATTAACCCAGGGTATAGTGGAGTAGAACGGAATCAGACCACTAGGGAAACCGAGCTATTAACAGTTAAATTGTATATTAAAAAATTACTCAGAATGTTGTCAGTGTGGTTGTCTTACCTCAGTTTTTTAAACATCTATCTCGAATGTTAATGCACTGTTTCTTACTTTATTTAAGGTGGAAAAGCATTTGGACCAAGAGGACCACAGAGTTATTTTTATATGTTATCGAATAATCTACGTGTAGGTGGATTGTGTTCTACTTTATCAATAAAATTCGCTCAGGTAAACCATTTTTTTTCCTCCAATAACACTGAACTAGAGCATCAGTACCACAGCAATATACGTTCACATCCCGCTTTGATTGATATGGTACTATTTAAAATAAAGAGAACTGAATATTAAATGGCTGCAACAACTGTAATATGACAAAAGGCAAAGAAGGCTAGGCATTTGGTTTGTTTTGCCAAATTTACAGGCTCTATAAACACAAACTCCGGTTTGGTTCAATTGTTTTAGTTGTTAAACTAAATCAGAGAGATTTTGATTTGACAGTTTTTACATATTTTTGAAACAGGTTTCGAAGTGTTTTGGTTCTGTTATGCAAGATCTTTTTTGACGTTCCAAAGTAAACGTACCGTGCTAAGACCACCTGAAGATAAATTTTAAATGTTCCTATTATTAATTAGAACAGGTTTCACTTTAGTTTTTATATTTTATGATGCTGACATTTTATTGCTTTAAATCTTCCTAGTGCAAAAACGGAAAATTTGAACTTTTGACCTCTGGGGTCACAAAGAACAAAGGTGAATTTAGCAACTTTACATTTTTATTGAAAAGGGGATTACTTTCGATCATTTTCAGCATGTTTTCATGATACAAGGAATGGCTGTGCATTCACTTTCAGTGCAAAATTTTACTATAGAAAAGTTGAGTCTGGTTTTGTGCCCATTTGATTGACACCTGCCACACTGAGCCTACAGTCTATATATAAGGTTATAAATGTACTATATGATATATACTTGTACCAAAAAAAAAGATTTTACTCATTGCATTGTTTTTCCTTTCAGAATAATCTCCATATTGTAGATTCACTAGAAATTCCTACAGATGATCCAGAGGTAAAGTTAAATAGAAATAGATTTGAGATTTTGTATCTTACTGGTACAGCAGATTTATTTTCATTATTACATTAAAAAATTATATTTGGTTGTAGGTTCAACTAGAGTTTACACTAGGTTCGTGTTATGTATTCCTTGCATGGAAAATACTAAATCTAAAATCTCAACATAAATATGAGTATTTCACCAAGTTTGCATTATTACAAGGAGTTACATGTACATGTATATAGAATGGTGGGGGAGGAAGTATATTGTATTGTCCATCCATTTAAAAAGTTCACTTCTGTTGGCTTCTTTTTCAGTACATGGAAGATTTAATTGATACAAGATTTTGGGGATTTTCTGTATTATTTGTAGATGAGTATGTATTGATTTAAACTATTGTTAAATGTTTAACTGTTTCAGACATGTCTTTCTAGTTCATGTCGGATTTTTTCACAATTAAATATTCTGATAGTTACTTGTAGCATTGCTATAAAATCAGTTCAATTTCTGTATATTTTTAATGTCAATCTTAGTAGTTGCCCTACAGTTACTATATCCTTTACTAAAGCTCATTGAAAAAACACAAATGATAGGTCTGGACTAGTCTTATTTGAAATTAAGTTTAACTGTAAACTACATACAAGCTAGATAAAGCATCACATTCTCGTACATGTTCTTGTTCTGCTATAAATAAATATTGAATGTCAATTTGGAAAACTGCCTTGAAATATAAAGTACAATCTGATTAGATTAAAATATACACGAAAAGAGGAGGGTTATTCTTTAGATCTTTATTACATTGGCTATTATTTTGTATAAAGTTTTAAGAAATTGAAATGGACTTTCAACTTATTTTTCAGTACTGATATTATGCCTCGAAATATTTCCTTAGCTGTACAAGATTTACCTAGTTTTAATCTTATGCCGACATATGGTGAGTTATTATACCTACAGTAATTATAAGTACATATATATTTAAATTATTGTCCCACACCTTTTGAAGAAAGAAGGAGACTATTAAAATGGGTTCATTGATCTGTCTGTCACACTATTGGTGTATCAGTAGGTGAATGTCTTTTCTGCTTAGGTCAACACTTTAGGAAACATTAACTTTGCTTCTAACTGAAGTAAAATGTTCAAACTGGGTCTAGATGACATAACATAGGAATAAGGAATGCAATTTGTTTCTGATTATAATTCAGTGTTTTTAATATATTTTATGTATGTTTTCAGGTTTAAATGTGTACAGTATGTTAAAGCATGAAACATTAGTGTTGACATTAGCAGCTGTAGAAAAATTAGAAGAAAAACTTTTATATCAATTACATAGAACAGAGAGACAAGCAAAGTTTCGTTTACATCAGTAAGATAATATAATTGAAACATGGACATAATGAGTGTAGAAATAGCTTTCAGCACCTGCATAAGAGGAGATGTGTAATTAAGATTTATGCGGTATCACATGTAATTAGATTTGTGCGATATCGGTTGTGTACATCATAAATTTGATTAAAATCATTTTTTATTAAATTGAATTTCAGTGATTCTTTTGTTTGGGTTAGTACATGTATGTGCAGTTCTAGAATACGTGTGATTTTATTCTGTTATCAAAATATTCACTTTATAGAGTGTTTTCAGCAAGCACTAATTTAATTGATCGACTCTGGATCAATCTACCAATCACAACCCATGATGCAGAAAAATCCACAAATCAGAAGGTTTTCATCACAATGACAATAGCTCTGCAGAAAACGAGTGACACAATAACTTTGAGTCAATGTGGATGTATAAAGATAGGTTGCCTGGCAAAGAAGTGTACGCCCACATCAGGAAAGTCATCCAAGCAGTCCACAAGTTTTGTCCCATATTATTGCTTTTGTCAGTAATGAAAGCATTTACAAGGCACTAAAAACTGGTAATAACAACTGATTAAGATTTGTTTGGGTTATAATTCTGTCCCATGCCACACTTTGGTATAGAGCATCCACATGTGATCAAGGGCCATAACTCTGGCAGTAGTTATTTATCATAGTGGAAAATCCACAGGCTTCTTTGTCTCATGACCTTGATCACTGTATAAAATTTCATGTGAATCGGATATCAACTTCAGCCTCAGTGTTCAGAAGATTTTTCAAAGTGATCAAGGGTCATACTCATGTTTAAATCCGTAGGGTTGTTCGTCCCATGATCTTAACATTGTATAAATTTAAAGTCAATTAGATATTAACTTTAGCTTCTCGAGTATCCATAAGATTTTTCAAAGTGATCAAGGGTCGTAAGTCTGGCAGTAATTATCGGGTATCATTGATCAATAGGGTTCTTCGTCTCACTCAATACTGTATAAATTAATTTAATGTCAATTGGATATTATTTTTAGCTTCTAGCTAGAGCACCCACTTCAAAAGTGTTCAAGGGTAGGGTGACCCACCATAAATAAATATCTCCAAATATCTCGACAATTACGCCACAATATTTATATATATGCCAAGCCTCAAATCAGTTTCACACAATTATAGTCACTAAATAAACGATCATGTTGTACTTAATAAGCTATGACCATTAATCATCTATAAATAATAGACTGAAAACTGGTCCCAAGTGTCGTCCACAACATCCAGACACTTTTGAGTAAAAGATAGGTTACATGCCCTTGTTTTGAAATTAGTCTCGCTTAACCAGTCTATCGACCATTCTACGTTTGATTGACAGGTCGAGATAATCAAGACTACTTTTTTACGAAACATAGCAGAAAGCTAGAACAAGAAATTGAATTTAGAAATAAGCACGTTAGCTAGCTCAACAATTGTTTTAAGAAGCTTGTAAAAGTAAAATGAAACTACTGCTAGTATCATGTTCCTGTCTAACCCGAGTGTTTCAGAGATATTATTTGTACTAAACCAAAAGATGCCGCTCTTAACGGTACAGTTAATGATAAAGCAATTTAAAAAATGAAACGAACGTAATTTCTAAATCTGCTGTAATAACCAAGAAGCTTAATTTTACTGCTATTCAAAATCGTCAACAATAAATTTTTTTACGGCTGTAATAGTTGATAGATTTGTAGAGAATTGCAAGTGCCATGGCTATTTATGGTATCATACTGTCAGAAAGTTGGTCTCGACACGGCGAATGTGCACGCTTCAGTGGTAGTCTCGAACTATCAGCGGTGGACTGTATTTCTGTAGAGTGCATGGATCACCTTATCAAGGGACATATCTCTGGCAGTAATTATCAGAAATTGTTCAAAATCAATAGACTTCTTCATCCCATGCACTTGAACACTATGTATAAATTTAAAGTCAATCGGATATTAACTTGGGCTTCTATAGCATTCAGGAGCAATTGTAGACGATGGACAGATCGGGTTGAAGACAATATACCACTACATTTCAATGTGGGTGTATAAAAAGAGAACATTGACCTGGTTATATACAAAGAAAATTTGCTTTTATTATAATACAATAAATTAAAAATGTACACAATAAATCTACATGCTTTATTTATATACTATCTCTAATATGTACATAATGTCATGCAGTTCAATGATGAATGAAAAATAGCTGTTAATTTCAAAGTTTATTTATGAACATATTATCACATATCACAAATGTCCAAAGACCATACAGGCTTAATATTGATTGACTATATGAAAAGACATATGAACTTTCTTATCAAATTTCACACAACTCAATATATTTACTTACGCTGTATATAAATGTTACCAGTGACTAGCTTACTCACAGAAAACTATCCTATTATATTTTATAATAATTAGTATCCATATTTGAAGCCTTTCAACAATTGGTTGCACTTAATGTTATTCCTGTTGACACACAATGAGATGAAATTTGTTATCAGTATTCATGAAAAAATCCACTAGTTGGTTTCACACCTTGAGCCATATCCATCCTAACTTGCCATCGTAGAGTTTTCCGCTGTTTTTCTGTTGGTACAACATATTTATTCTGGACAAATACTCTGTGACTTTTCTGTAAAACCCACAAAAATTAACAATAAGAGTATAACGTAACATTGGAAAATTCTGTAGTTGTAATTTAAAAAAAAAAAAAAGAATCAAAATAAATCAGAATCTTTCCAAAACCAAAATATGAAGTAACTAAACGGAAAAAATATTTCCAAGAGATAAGTTGTCAGGAAAAAAAACATACGATTGTAACAGTATTTAATTAAGGCATCAGACCGGCCAACAAAGGCTGTCAAATTTTTATTTTAGATAATGAGAACATTTACAAGACACTAACACGGGGGTTTCATTAAACATTACTGTAGGTGGGTAAAGTATTAGAGCAGACGGGTACTTTCTGAGAGCCAAAAGTTTGATAATAGCGCCACAGTTGCTAAAGAGCACAACAGACGCTCAAATTGAGTGGCGAAGATGTGAAATAACCTAGGGTGTTTGGGGGCATGCCCCCACCCCCAAGAAAAGTTTGCATTTTTGGCACGCAATACGCAATTTGGTTGATTGTACACTACTTTCAGAAGTCTACACAAAAGGCCAATATAAGGGCAACTTTGCATTTCAATCAGAACCTATATCAGGTAAATATTTTTCAAATGTAAAAGTTAGCACAAGGCAACTTGTGAAAAGGCTTGAAAACTCAAATTTGGTGCAGTCATGAAAAATGAATCGATCTAACAGTCAACAATTCCTTCATCAACGTCTCTTCTGATGTAGCTACACCAGTACATCAATACATTGTGGGCTATTAAACTACATTTTTTCTTGTTATAAATGTTGTGTAAATGCAATCTCCAGTCATTTAGAAAGATACTTTCGTGTCAGCTAGCTTTGTTATTTTTGCTAACAAATAATAAACAAAAATTGTATTATTCAAATCAGCCAAGAATCAATTGACTGCGATAAGAAATGATCATTCTTCACAGTTTAACAGCCAGCGCCACCACATTGTATAGATCTGTATTTTAATCTGATTGAGTTCTTCCTGGCATTAACAAGTACGGGTAATCAGATAACTTGAGTTGTTCGGGTTATTGAAAATTACTAAACAGAAACATTGTGTAATAGTGGGAGGGGGACCATTGGATGTACAGACAGGTATGACCACAAGTTACGACCACTATTCAATGGGAGTTTATCAATTATAAGGGTCACTATTCTGGTGAGACTTTGAAGGTCTAGTGCGGCAAACCCAAAATGTACCATATTTTGCATTATGATAACTAAACACAAATTGTCAATAAGATGGATTACCTTATCTGGTACCTCCTGGGCTAACATCCGTTCTCTTATATTCCAGCGTAAATTTTTATGATCTCGTTCTCCTGGAGCTCGGAAAGACTGCCACACTTGTTTAAACTGTTGATATTTTGCAACAGGATCTGATTTGCGAAGGTTTTTGGTATGAGGATGTTCTGAACGACGTAGGATGACAGATGCAGGACGAGGGTCGTCATCAGCTAATCGATATGGTGGCTACAATATTTAATAATAATATCATTAATGTAATGCCTTAAAGATTTTTTTTCTTAATTAAGAAAATATGAAATGGAGTGGGGTTTAATGTCCTACTCTGACTGGGCTAATGAAGTCGGACATACGCCATACAGTGTGCTATGAGGGAAATTTGCTAGGACAGCAGTGCAATGGCCTACCCTTATATCAAATTACAACTGCCAAGGGATCTTTAATGTGCATGCCAATGTGTACACACAGATCAAACCGGCGACCTCCAGGCTAGCGAGCCAGTGGCTCCAATTAAGAAATCAATCAAAATATCGAAAGTAGATAATCTCCCAGTTTGAGTACATCTGGATTAAAAATAGGGTCATCAAAGATTTTAGGTTGCTTGCTTTGACCCTTCCTGTTTTATCGTCCACAGAGGATGCTGAATGTTGACATATTTTCAACTCATTATAAAAGGAACTGGACCATTTTTGGAGTGATATTACTTTTAGGTCGTTAACTATCAAAATCCCACAAATGATAATTAATTAGAACTTTTAATACAGACTACCTCTTCATCATCACTATGTGATAATCTTGATCTTCTACCTGTTGATGCACGATCAAAATCTCTTAATCTCATTCGCTCTAATCTTTCATGTGCATCAATAACACTTCCTGAAAATTATAACTTATCTTTAATTACTAGGATTCAAACAATGCTATCCTCTTGTGTTCTTTCTTGATTGTTCTAAAATTCTACTCTGGCTTTCTTATACGAATTGTCATGTTTCTCGCTAACCAACGAATCTGACATTTATGTATTGAGAAAAATGTGTTTAAAATTTGTGCTCTGTTGCCATCAAATAATAACACTTATTTGTGATTTAATATTTCATACATATTATGTTAGAACCTAAAACTGAGTGATTCAATTTGGAAAAATATGACCCTCACCAAAATATTTTTTAATGCACTTTAGAATGATTGAAATAGAATTGTGTCTGATTTGCTAATTTCATGATGATGTAAGTCAGATTTGGCTGGTATGTGGGGCTTGTTAAGTAAAATTTCTTTTTAGCAGACCCTCTACTAGACCAAAAATGATGGAAAATAAACCAATGTAGTGTCCATTTGAGCAAAGATATTTCTAGATAAGGGCTATCACTCTTTCTATAATCACCCAAATATTTACTATTAATTTTATATAAATAGCATACTAAGGCCACACAAAATAAATGTCTTGTTTCTCGGGCAACTGACAGCTGAAACTGTAGGGAGGGAGGGCGGTTTCTTTTTTTTTTTTACTCATTGATGGTGCAAAATAAAATTTGGCTATTGCTGAAAATTGTTGGGGCGGGAGGGCGGTCTTTCTTTTTTTTTTTTTTTAAATGAGAAAGTCATTACTTGTTTACGTTTTTGCTTTCCGTTATATTCAACTTTATTGTACATACTTAAAACATAAACCCAAAATCAAGTCTACTAAAACACTGAGACTGAACACTGACTGAAAGGAAAATAATTTTCCATATTTAATTCACATAATTGAAATTGGTTTAAAATAAAATTCCATACGACTATGTAATAGCCCTCCATAAAGACAACAATATTTTTAAAAACTAAGCCTCTTTCACCAGGTGTATCAAAAATAATAATCATGGTAAACAGTATTTAAAACTAAATCTAGTATCGCCGGTTTATTTATAATTATTTACCGAATTCCAACCAATGCATGTCACACCGTGTCATCGGTATTGGAGATTGCCGGAAATACTGTTTCTTGGGATATTCGGTGTGTTTCTCAGGATATTCGGTGTTCTATCCGGTATTTATATTGAATGACTATTTAAATCTAACTAACAACTGGTCAGTAAAACCATCAAATCGGTAATCCAATTATTATTTTCCGGATTATCGAAACTACCGTAAATGTGCTAATAATGACCCAGATTCTAAGGTATGCATTATGACGACTATCGTCATCGTATCGTATTCTTAGCTATAATTAATTAACCTGTTCTACGGTTCATTATTTTATCAATAGGATTTTCCAAACAAGGACCGACTGAAGCCGGCAATAATGAGCCGATTACGATCGAATGATTGAAATATTGTCGCCAATGACTTTTAACACGAATCAAATTCTAGTTTATCAGGGGAGGTAATTAATATCACGTGATACAAAATGGAGGTTCTTTCGATATCAATAAAAAAGGCAAATCTGCCAAACTTCGCCATTGTTCGGATAAAAAAGACAGCATGTTCATCTGAATCAGTTTTAATACATTTGAATAGATATACATGTATGGCGGATGTAGGTACATGCGGGATATTTTTTTTACGACGTGCTTGTCGATGTGCGGGCGGGCGTTACATATTTATTTTTTTTCATCAAGACTAATAAATAGACTGCACGCGCAACCAATTTTGCGTGCGGGCGGTGCCCGAGAAACAAGTTATTTTATTTGTGTTGCCTAAGCTGTGTTTAGTTTCTGAAATATTGGTAGACCTCTATAACCAAGTCACCAGTAATGCATAGTGTGCGCCGTTAAATTAACAGCACTAATGATATGCACTAGAAAGAAAACAACAATTAAACCAACCTGCATCACTCTCTGTCATAGATTCATCAATATATCTGGTTCCTTTCTCATTCTTTCTGTAACAAAAAAATAAATAAAAGATTCTAATTTACAAAAGTAACACTCATGTCATTTTCAAGGAAGATAGAATTGTTCATAGCTTGAAAAACATCAAGACTAGTAAAGGCTGAGTGTAGTTCAATCAATTGTCATGAAACATTTTGTTCTTTGAACGGTTAAACAAGTACAGTTGAAGCCAAAATTCTCATTATCATTATTGTAGTTATATTTCTCGATGTATTTCAAAATGTTTATCTTTATTTTGGTCAATAAGGATCCTGTTATATCATTTCTGTCTTCTAGACTTGGTGCTCAGAATAGCCTAAAATATTCTTGCAAATATCACAATCAGTGACTCAACAAATCCTGGCTAGAAAATGCCACAGTCAGAGATTTTTGCTCAATACACTTGGATTGTACTGTAATTGATATTACCTGACTGTTTTGCGTTTGACCATACGTCTACATTCTGAATCAGTTTCAGATACATCATCTCGTATATGTGGTTTACTATATAAACTGTGACCTCTGGATGGTTGACCTGTAACAAAAGCCGGCCTTTCATATCCAGAATTGTGCTCTTTTTCGAGATCTCTGCTGATTTTCACTGTCTTGTCACGACTTCCAGCATTTGCATTGGTATTACTTATATCTATCTTGAGAGGTGGACCTACAAATTAATAATAATAAAGGTAACAATATGTGAAAAATGTGTTTACAAAATGATGTATAAGAGGATAAATAGATAGAACGCCATGACTACTGAATACCGCTCGGGTTATTCAATGGTTCACTCGAGTGTATCCCTGCCGCAGGGATATACTCCCTTGAGTATACATGGTCATCAAATTTTGTTTTTATTCTATAGTTACATGCAAATCTCAAAATACACTGTACTATCCAGATTATCAATAAAAAAAAATCATCACCAATAACATTAAACTTCATCATAGGTTCCACCCTTTTATCTTTCTTTTTAAAAAAAATTGTGGTTGCCTAGTGGCTAGTGCCGACGTCATTACAGTTTGACGTAATTCTGAAAATGACGTCATTCTGGACAAAAGTAGTACATGTCCAACCCATTGAATACAACCATAGGTTATTCAATGGCTGTATTCAATATTTCCTTGTATTTGCATGTAGTTATAGAATAAAAACAAGAAATGCTTGATCATAAACACACCATACTATTATACTGAAGAAAATAAAACCCCCAGAATAGTTCAATTCATCAAAGAACTTATTTCATCAAATAACACTGTTGAAGGCCATCATGAATGGTGAGGGGTTTCTGTAGTTTTAACATTACAATTTGATTATTTTGAATTTTAATTAGTCATCTGTAAGCATTACAATTAAATTGATAATTTCGAAGTGTAATCATTACATTTGATTATTTGGAATTTTAATTCATCACATATAATCATTACTATTTGTTTATTTCATCATCTGTAATTATTACAATTTGATTATCATCTGTTATTACAGTTTATTTCAAAATCTGTAATTTTTTCATGATAATTAGATAAAGACACATTCAAATTCAAAAATAAAGAAACTATATAGTTATATCTATAAAAACACATTAAAAATATAGAATTACTTACTAAATTCATCATCTGTAGTTTTATCATGATAATCAGATGATAGACTAGTATTTATAGAATTACTTTTATCATTGTGTATTAACAATTTTAAATCTGAAAAAAAAAAGAACAAGTATGTTTAACATTGAACTCGTTATCTATGAACAAGGATCTTTTGTGGTGATCAACTGCTTTAAATAACCGTAGCTTTTTCTAAAATTATAGACCACATGATAACCTGGCTCGTATACACCAGCTTGTACAGAAAGAGGAACAATTTCGACATATCATGCAATTTTAGTTTTATTTATCAACTGATGTCACTATATATGACTATTTTATTGCTCGCCTCAAACTCTGAAGTTACAGTAGTCACTGTTTTACAAATAATAATTGGCCTAGAAAACCCCCTGGCCCATGCTACCCAAATGAAACTTACTATGTACAGAAACTAGGAAACTAAGAAATAAAATGAAATGGAGTTTAACGTCCTACTTTTCTGCACCAATTGGGCCAACCAAGACGGGCATGCTGTGAGGGAAAATTATGCCAGGGCAGTGACACTATAGCTTACTCTTAGTTCGAATTCAAATTGTCATGGGTTCTTTTATGTGCACGCAAATGATTACACAGGAGCTCAGTTTTTTTTATCCCATCCTATTAACTAGACACTGTACTTGCCAGTCCCTCCACCGTGCACCCACTGACCAGGAGAAACCATGCTGGAATATTCTGGGAAACCAGCTACTACGGCCCCCATGGAAGCCAAGTCTAGTCCATATCATGTTACTGAAAATGATTAAATATATAGATGTTTTTAACTTCTTCCAATCTTTAGATTCTCAATGAATTTATTCTGTGTTTTATTGTGCAGATATCCTACATTGTTTATATTTAGGGTCCAGTGGGCCCTAAGAACATGAAACCAACCTCTTTGAAATTCCTTCAACTTTGCTTTAGGTACATTGTGGTAACCAAGTCTGTTGAGTTCACCTAATATTTCGTCTTCACTAAAATCAAAGTCTGTAATGCTTAACTCTTCCATTGTTCTGAAAACTAAAATAGAATCTTGTTTATAACATAGTTTTGTGCACAGTAATACCCATAAGCTATCTTCAGAAATCAACTTCAAATATCTATGCTAAAATTTATGTGTGTTGATTCCATATGATTGGAGATAGTACTACAGAGTAGATAACTTTTCGTACACTACCAAATCAGGCGTATACTATCTCCCTGATAATGTCTGTCTACTACATCGTTAACACTGTTCATTACGTGCATTTTGCATACCGATAGTCCATTGGCCAATCACGCTATTTTACCGAGATTTCGCCTAATAGTTTTGATGCAGCTATGGCGGGTGTGGCGCCAGGCAGGGTAAGCTTACTCTTCCGGACACCTGTTACCACTGTTTGTCATGTATTTTGTACACGGTGAACAGTCCATATGCGGATTACACTATTTTGCCTTATTACACTATTTTGCCTATACCGTTTTTTTAGGACTTCGAATTTTGTCTAATGGTTTGGATTGTTCGTACTTGGTTTGCTTAGTGATTAGAAATAGGCTAACCATGTTTTATGTTTTACATGTTTAATGGGGAAGCTTAAGCTAGTATAACTTATATTATATGTGCATGTACCTATGTTACCAGTATTTATTAATAGACAATCGAAGCTAGTGGTGACTACTGTACTTGAAAACAGTTGAAGTTTCACAAGTGAATTATTTCAATCCCTTGAAAAGTGTCAAATATGTAAACACAAGAATTTTGTGCGATATGCCAAATCTGAAAAAGTCCACTAGGAAAGCTTACTTTAATTTGTCACGATTCACACCACAATTAACAAGTTTCGTGACTGGCAGCAATATTTATGTTTCACTGATCACTCGATTGTAATTCCGAATGTTCCTGACTGACTAAGCTATCAGGAATATTCAACTTTACTTACTATTGTATCATACATTAATAATGACAGTGACAGCTTTTTATGTCAATGATTATGATATGAATATGATCATCACATGAAATTACAAAATCAACAGACCACAAGTTAATTCCGATTTGTGATCCACCTAGTTAGGGCAGTTGTATTATTATCTGTAAATACTGTTATTGTAGGTATCTAATGTTATACCTAACCTGGATCTTAAAATTTTTAGCAAGTCTGAGCAAGTTTATAGTAACGACCATATCTGAAAAAAACAAGTCATTGAATTCAAGAATCAGGCTAGGCCTACTTATTAAAATCTTATTATTTCAAGACCTAGAATCTACGTCAGTACGTGCTAATATGAATTTCAGCGTCACCTGTGAGTCGTACTTCTGAATTCGCTAGCAAATGATTTTAAATTTCTGTTTTGATTTACAAACTGTTGAATAGTCCACCATTTTGGTCAATCGTCAAGGGATGTGTTCGAATCGACCTAGTCTGATCCTGGAGCATGCGTAAGGCGTGTGATTCGCTTAAAACTGACTAGCACGCATGCGTAAATTATGCTCTCTTGTTCTGAAATATAAATTTTGAATAGGGAAATCACTGATACGTTCTTGTGTAATCCGAATGCATGCACACAATCATTTTAGTCTTGACCATCGAGTCTACGCACAGATTATTGGATTTTCATTTTTACGTCAAACTTTATGTCATAAAAAAGCGTATCTTGCTCGCCGCCTTTGCTTTGTTTATCAATATCCAAACTGGTTATTATAAAGTTGCCTGAAAGTTTGGTTTGATAATTAATAAAGCAAACACAGAAACGTGTGCAATGCGATGTCTTTACCACAAAAAATAGGGACGCCTCTCGGGTTTAACACTCCCGTGGCCGTAGTACCACAGATTTTTACTTTGTGGTACTACTACTGTGCTGGTAGTCTGTAGTGACGTGTTAAACTTCAATTTGTCCTCATCAATTTATCCCGATTTCTATTTATATCCGTCCTTGTATAGGGTAATAACTAATCATGTAATATTACACTTCCAAAAAACTATTCTTAGCTGTGGGGACAGTGGTGTTTTTTGGGTTTGGAGGATTTTAAATAAAAAAAAAGATAAAAAAAATAAAATCAGCATGTCCTATAGGCTATATTTGTATTGATCTTCAAAAAGCTTGAAAATTTTTTGGTCAGTGTGGTTGTCTTCATCTTTTTTTAGAGGAACGGGAAGCCGCTTCTAACCTATAATGTGGACTGTCAGAACAGTGTTTTATTTTCGGGTTTGAGTGATTTTAGGTACGATTCAAAAACGGCTCGAGGCGTGGACTGATCATTTCGAAAATTAAAATTTGTTAAACTCACGTACGGCTCGACTCGGCTGGTCGTTTACATAAACGTACAATGTGCTTTTATATACTGGCACTAACTTTGAGAGCCGCGGTGGATCTATGGGTAAAACGCTGGCTCGTACAACCGGGGATTCGAAACCTATTGTCCTTGACTACTAGTATTTGATACCGATACCTGGTACATTCTTTATTTTTCTAACTGTCTAGGATTGTTCGGGGTTCAAAGATGATATATCAAAATTAGTAGTTACGCGTCATGTTTAACAGATTTATTGCCCTGGTCACCGACGCCTTGTCTTATTCTTCGAATTGGCTGGGATTATTCAAAACCACATCGAAATTTGAAGTCACTTAAAGATTTTTTTTTTCACCGGTTTATTGTTCTTGTAAACGCCTTTCGTATTTTATGTAAATTCTCTAGAGATCAGAGATTTGAGAACACCAGTTTCGCTAGTCACAATGAAGAACCCTATCGAAATAATATCGGATGAAAATTCACACCTCAAAAGTTGGCCCAGACGTGGCAAGCCGCCTTCATTATCCCGTCTGTATCAGAAAAATAGGACGTTAAACCATAGATATCTATGCGTTAAACGGCATTCATTTTCCTTCATGAAGATCGTAAGCGCTATACAGTAGCCATACCCCCCCCCCCCCTTACAGGAAAACTTCAGAATGGAACAGATTTTAATTCCCGAAAAACAGGCTGATATTGAAATTATCGCCAGCCAAATGAGAATAGAAAGAAGAGGAAACAGTTATGGGGTTGTGCTAACATGGAGTAGTTTCTATTCTTCTGTGTTCCTATGGAGACAAAAATGAAATGAAATGGGGTATAACGCCTCGGTTTCTATACCGACCGGGCAAATGAAGACGGACATACGGCGTTTATAGTATACATATAATGTTGTCTGTTGGGGGCATTATTGCGAGTGGCAGTGGGAACAGAAATTGCAGTATTCAAAATGGGGCATACTTTATCACGTCCCTCGCCTTCTACGAAGGCTACTGAATTTAACTTTAATCTTTAAAAATTCAATATTACAAATTAATCTCCAAAGCTTGTGTCTGAATTTTAGTTTGATCAAAGTTATATTACACTGTATTACTATTTGTTTTTTTAATTGGTGTATAGGAGGTTTACTGATAGTTCCGACACAAATATCGTGATCAATATCATAAAATGATCAACGATTTTAAACCGAAAATCGTTGCTTTTGCACAATAAATAAAAATAAATCAGAAAATTAACAACAAATTTTTATATTTTATAGATTAAAGATATATTCCCATGACAACCATAGAAGTATTAATACAAAATTTTAATCAATAATATATTTATATTACTCATCACTATAGATCATCATTTTCCCTTGAATTATTCAAATGTTTTTTTCAGGAAGGAAGTCGTTATAAAGATATAGTTGAACTTGTTTTCTATATTATACCAGCATTGTAAATACTTGTATATTCACAGGAATGTTATTTTAAGAAAACACCGTATATGAGCTAATAATAATATTGGAAAATTTTCCGATATTTGACCCTGAAGCTTCCTGAAATATATTTATTCTATACGATTACGTAAATAAATACATCATTTAGTTATGATGTTTTATATCGCGGTTATCATTGATTTATCGGTATTAAAGATGCATTATGTAAAATTTAGATAAAGAGCTGACCGTTCTTGCTATAATAGTTCAAAATAGGAATATAAATGAATATATTTAAATTTCATTCAAAAATTACTTTATTTCGAGCGAAGTTACGAGTTTTGGAAGATGTTGCGTAGCTTGTTTATAATCGTAGCAACGGTATTGGACAAACAAGACCAAGTCTCGATTATCCATTTTATCGCTCTAATCCATTTAACTCTCTGCCATCCGATGCTCTAGAGAGTTGACTGCGGGCTTGTGACATATTAGTAAATGTCTAAATAATGTTTTATATAAAATTTGAAGCCAGAAAAAAAACTTGTAATAGGCCGATTACGCTCTTACATAATGCATCTTAAATTTTTAACAGTTTGAAAACAATTTATATTTTACACACAACACGTAATATAATACAGCACATGCCATTTTAAAGGTCCGGAAAGTTCTGAAAGCACAGTAAGGATATAGTATATTATAATAAAGTTCTTGATAACATTTCTAAAATATCACTGTTATCCGGGTAGTCCTGGTTTACTACAATCACAGGCATGGCCACCGAGTTGTACTGAACATAAGAAATCACAAACAGGCGTTGTTGTGTCCGGTTTTGCAGTTGTTTCAATTGGTTGATGGTCATGTTGAATTTTTTTATAACCTGAAATAGTAAAGAGAAAAGTCTGTAGGCCCATTGTACGCTCGTACGATCAGTCATAGATAACGCCCCCCCCCCCCCTCCACAGCAACTTTATGAATTTATTAATATATTTTAAATGAATGAATGAACAAATATAAAGATTCACATTTCCTCCACAAAACACCACCTTGTTCTATTACTTTTGATAGATGCTACAAAGATTCAATCAGTCTAGGCAGAATGCTAAAATCAGAGCAATGCCTGACACCGACAGTGGTTAACAGCATGCAATTAACGCACCTCGGAATTGAGTAAAAATATTCTTATTTATTTTACCCCAGGAAACCGAGAAATGCATGAAATCAGAAAAAATACAGAAAAAAATATAAACAGTGATCTACGCACAATAATCAATTATACAGTGGATATATAAGTGAACTAAAATTAAAATATATTGGTGAATTGGGGAGCAAGTAAAAACTTTTGTGCCTATATATTGAACAAACCTAACATTAGTTAGTGAGAGGACATGCCCTTAAATGTTTGAATCTCACCACTGGTTTCATAAATAATAATTTCCGTAATGACAACAGGGCCCTGTTTCTCGAAATCGTAACTAAAGATAAAATCCAAATTTTAGTAGATAATTCAATTTTGATTGGCTAAGCACTAAAATCAATCTAATATTATCTAATCAAATTAGTAAAATTTGGATATTGTCTTAGTTAAAATTTCGTGAAACAGGCCTCAGCATGTTAAAAAATACTTTACAAAGAACTTTTGAGTGGGTTCACCTGCGCTTCAAAAATTGATTTGTATACCCTGGTAAGTGCAATCGAGCCTCCCTACTTGGCGTGATTAAGTCATTTTGAAATAACTGACTTTATTTATAAATAAACTGATCATTGGGTCCTAAATCTTTATTTAGTCTAATTAAAACTTAAAACCAATCTACGTTATAGACTTGGGCAACATGTAAGTAATTTGCCTATCAAAAATAATCAAACCTCATACCAAACTTGTGTAAACCTTTATTTAAACTCACGTCAGGAACTATATATTTTATCTTTAAAATACAAGATAGAAGCCTAACAGATAAAGAATTAAAACATAACATATATTTACCGCCACAAAGATGTGAACATTTCATGTATAGCATTTCCGATATTTCGTAGTCCATCTCACATACTTCTCTACAGTCAAAAAAGCTTTTGCCTTCCACTAAAATATTTTGTGACAATATAAAAATGAGGAGGATGCTCATTACTTTTAGCAGCTTCTTCATCTTATTATTTAATCAAATCTCCGAATCTTCAAACAAAAATCAATATCTTCTCCCTCTCTATGTAAGAAACCACAGGATGCGAGTTTGTGATTCAAATGCTGATTGTGTACAGTAACGAAACTATGAGAAGGCGTACGTATATTCAAGTTATTTATTAGTTCATTTTTAAAGTGATTAGCAGATAAGAAAGTCGAATGACATCTATATTGACGGTTATTTTGGTTTATGGATATATTTGTCCCTAAGCAAACAATTAAAATCATTTTTGGCCCTTTTTATCATTGTGTGATTTCTTTAAAGGGAGGACGCAATCTTTAATAATATGAATGTTATTATAATCAAGAAATATCCACACATGTGATATAGATTTATATATAATTAAGAGCACTCCTTGGTTTTAATAAGACTTACTGGATCAAATTTTCGTCCTCGAAATTTAATAGACTACAATGATGATGAAAGTCTACTGGCACCGCGAACACTATCACCATCGTAGGCTAGTCGCCGTAATATACTCTTCAAAAAAAAGTAGGGGATATTCAGAAACAATACAAAAATGCGGAAATGCACTGCTGTTTTTATTAGAGGTAACCAGTGCATAACAGACCAATTGCCTACACATGAACATAAACAGTTCATATGGGCGGCTAATCTGACGGCCCCATTTCACTCGCAAAGAGATACACCGTCAAAAGTGAAATCCTCAGACATTCAGCAATTCGTCCTGGCATACTTCTAATCAACCGTCCAATCACGATTTGGGGCAATCTGACCCACCCCTCTTGCAGTGCCACGGCCAATTCTTGCAGTGTTGTCGGTAGACGTTGACGTCGACGAACACGTCTCCCGATCAAATTAAACGTAACCCACTAAAGTAAATATACGCCAAACAGTAAATCTTAGGCAAGAACCGATAGGATAAACCAGCACGCGGCAGTTTTCATCAACCCTTCCTTGAAGTGTCAAATTTGACAATGAACCCCTCCCACGTGTATGGCGCTATTGCGTGTCGTACATGCAGCTCAGTGGTTCTGTTGGGGCAATAAGTTCTCCATCTGTGATCATACTCTCAAAGCATGTCAAGTGTCCATGACTATTTATCATATCACAACCTGCATAGGTATTTGCATATCAATATCCCCTACTTTTTTTTATAGAGTATAGATATAACGAACTTCCATAGTTCTTCTTCATCCAACTTGATGTTGTTCTCTTTCTTTTGTAAATGCTGTATTATACCTAATAATAGATCGCAATGAAGATGGACGTCTACTGGCACCATATAAAGGTATCACTCCCGTAGCCCAGTCGTCGTAATGCTTATTATGAACTTGGAGGTCAAATTATCGGCTGTCAGTGTTTCTCTTAAACAAACTCGATGTTGTTAAGTTTCTTTTCTTCTAAAGACATAAGAAGTACAAGTACAGTTTTTGTTGGAATGAAATATATACACGGGTTTTCATAATCTGGGTAACCATAATAAATTTCCCAAAACCTAAAAACATTCCGATAGAAATACGGATGAGCCACATCACGTAGAATTCCGATTCTAAATCATTCTATATTTTTACACATTTTTTGCTCCAAATTTCATTACAAAATCTCTGTACTTGCCTTTGATATGACATCGGTGATATCTTTATTATACAGTGGGGTGTAAGTTCAAAAGACTGTAACCTTTAGCCCCATAAGTTCTCATAGAATATGTATTTATACTGACTGTTCATGTGCTCCGTGTGTGGATTGCTTGTAGTCAGTATAAGTTAAGTTATCAAATAATCTATAGTTAAAAACTATTTCCGATCTCCGTATTCGGTTGGTCACTTCATGAACATCTAAATATGTCTCAGCAAAGCGAATTTTCTGTATCGCAGGTTCTGATAGGTAGATCTAGATGGAGTCGACCTATCACAGTCGGTACATTCATTAATGAACAATGCCAAATCATATTGTTTAACCCAATCGGTTTGGATTTTAGGCTCACTATCAAATCGGCAAAATTATTATTTTTATTATTCTTATTCTTCTTGTTGTAGTAGGGAATCACGGTGGCTAAGTGGGTAATTTTACGTGCACGCCAATGTGTACACGGGATCTCGTTTTTTTGTTCCATCCGAACGACTAGACAGGCCCTTGACAGCCTGGAGGTCGGGTGTTCGATCCCTGCATTGGCCGAGAAAGTTCATTTCCCTTGGCAGTGGGCCTGACAAGGACAGCTGTCTAGTCGTTCGGATAGGACAAAACACTGAGGTCCCGTTTACACGTTGGCGTGCACGTGAAAGATCCGAACGACTAGACAGCTGGCCTTGTCAGGCCCTCTGTCCTGCATCACTGCCAAGGGGAATGAACTTTCTCGGCCATTGCAGGGATCGAACACCCGACCACAAGGCTGTCAAGGGCCTGTCTAGTCGTTCGGATGGAACAAAAAAACGAGATCCCGTGTACACATTGGCGTGCACGTAAAAGATCCCTTGACAGTTGGAATTCGATATAAGAGCAGGTCGTAGTGCTGCTGTCCGGGCAAAATTTCCCTCATAGCACACTGTATGGCGTATGCCCGTCCTCATTAGCCCAGTTCGGAGCAGAACAGTAGGACGTTAAACTCCATTTCATTTCATTTCATTTCATTTCATCTCTTGTTGTAGTAGCCAGTGGAATTAGGGGTGTAACGGAGGGGGGGATAGGTCTCTGCCCCCCCCCCCATGATTTTGACCGCCAGGACAGATTTTCAGGTTTATATCCACATGATGGTGAGCTTGTTTCTACGTATCTGGAACTGAATCGAGACTTGGAACAAGAATTGTCATTCTTCAAGCGCCAGTTTTCGGCCAAATCTATTTCACTTGTGCACGAAGCGTTCCTCATTATGTCACCTGAAGTGAGGCGGACGTTCCCTTCTGTCCCTTCACACTGCAGAACACTGCTAGTCCCTGCTTACTCGAGCGATCTTTCAGCACTCTGCGCCGTATCAAAACTTGACTACGCAACCCCATGACGCATAACCGACAGAGACACGTCCTGATGGCGTGTGCGGTGCATAATGACCTCCTGCATGTCGCCAAGATATTCAAAGAGAACAGTCCTGGGCTCTGTTTCTCGAAATCTTAACTAAAGATAAAATCCAAATTTAGTAGATACTTGAATTTTGATTGGCTATGCACTAAAATCAATCTAATATTATCCAATCAAATTACTAAAATTTTGATTTTATCTTAGTTAAAATTTCGTGAAACAACCCCCGGATCGTAGAACAAACGTCTTTGGACGATTCACCTAACTTCATGAACAATTAATATTTATGCAGCTTTGAAGTAGGTAGTAAATTTTTCCATATTGTCATCATATTACCCCTAGTTACAGCCTTTCATCGAAATAACACTGGTACAGTAAACTGTTTGTAATTATTATTTTGGTTTGGTAATTAAATGTTCCAGATTCCAGGGTTCGTCCGTCCCCTCCCCCCCCCCCCCTAAAAGGTATGACAAATACACGTCCTTGGTAGTTATAATCACACAAGAGGCTATTATTCTTATATCATTCATTGCCTAGGCTTTATTCATCGTGTGTCTGTTAAAGGAGGCAAGTCACTAACTCAATATCATCCACAGTCTTTGACATTGCAAACACGACTTTTCGTCAATTTAAATCAACAATGATGCTGTTATCTTAGCGTGAAAAAATAGGCTTCTGATATCCAATATTTAAGACAAAGTGAACATTTTAAAATTTGGACTACGAATCGCGTGCCAGTTAAGTATGCTATTGAGCGCCATTTGTAATGAAATAACTCGATGAACGAGGCTAAATATACCCCACAGGAGATTACTACCAGCGTAGACTGGCATAACCTGGCGCCAAAGTCTGTCATTCAATAAGGACTCTACGCGTATAAGAAATTACAGTAAAAAAGAAAGGATTGAATGAAAACATTCTATATACATGAATAATACATTATATGCGTTGCGACGTATTTTTTGTCCATTTCTAGGTGTCAAAGAGTATCGATTTATACACTTTAAATAGCCTTTTTTCAGAGATCGATGGCAAAAACTAAACATTTTCTTCCAAATGAGCGAAAACGTCTATTTTCTAAATTGTACATCTAGCATTGTTATTCGTTGGATGACTTCATCAAATATTAATCTATATTTTTCCCCATTATTTCTTAAAATTGCGATATTGATTTTTTTCTATCTTTTAATGGACATAAGTAGACAATGAAATGTTTTAGCCTCCTCTCATCTTACCCGGTTTAATTTCTGCTTGAACGTGTTTGTCCCGGCGAACTGATAGTGAAGAATGCAACAAGTCCAACTCCAATTTTTAAACTATCTGCGTACATATTCTGAAACAAACATCATTGCCAGAAGACATCTGTCGACACTACAAGGCTTCTATATTAAGGTTATGACAGATAAATAACTTGCCATAACAACACTAATTTATAAGGCCGGCTGTGACTGAATAATTAAGAGATTTGTGTGAAGATCCACGTCCTCATGATGTATATACTTCATTTTGACACTTGGGGACGCTGTTATCCAATATGGAAGACTTACGTGGCATTACTATATCTATCGACAAATTATAAGCTTTATTTCGGTGTGTAAATGAATTGTATTTTCTTATCCACCACCGTGAGTATGAATTTAATACAATGCACTTGTGATTGCTTTCAATTTTACCAGTAAAACATTGTTGAACTGATTATTTAACCACCTTACTATCTGGGTAGTCTCTCTCTTGACCCGGATTTTTTGTTCCGAGGATTATAGCACCAGCAGGCTAAGCCACTTCAGCCTTCAGGTCACGAAAGAATAATTGATCGACCTTCGCAACAGTTACATCGTATGTCAGTGCAAGTCGCCACCATGTAATGCTGTATACTATAATGTTTTCACGAACAGATACGTAATAAAACCCAACAGACTTTATATTCAGACTTTTATGACAAATATTTTGTCCTTACAACACCAGACATCAAAAAACATCAGGAATTGAATTTATGCGAAAATCGCTTGGCATAAGAAAGTGTATTGACACTATATGGGAGAGCAATGTTATCATGTCACACTGAATGTGGATGTACTTATCAAGGTCTCGATAACTCAGCCCCCATGAATTTTTACCAACAAAACAAGATAACGTTAGATAGGCAACAGCATAATTCATTGACTAGACATTGTATAGAGCAGATATGTCAACTCAGTCACAGTGGGACTGCATTCTGATCAATTAAAGCAAAATATCAGTGAAATTTGTATCATAAAATTTATGATGCATATGTTTTATGTTTTTCAGATTAGATGGAATTAGCATATTATATATAACTATATCAGTGACTGGTATTCTTGATCTCTACATAAAGTTTCTCATCATGAGATATATTGTAGTGGTACTGGTTTGTCTTGTGTATTTGCACAGTTCATTTATATGTGCGGACGAGAACACAAGAGCCACAGAGCATGAAAACAGAGACTCTGTGACTAATGAAGATGATGGCTCAGGTAAAACCTCTTCACCTCCTCATTCTTCTTCTTCACCTCACATGGCCCCTGAGTCACTTCCCATGCCCCCACCCCATCTTAATAAACCTAATGACATGTTGGATTCTGAGGGTCAAGATGCTGCCAACTCAAATCAAAATATAAAATCTGACAAAAAAAGAACATTAGATAATGTTGCTGCTTCAAATAAGAAAGAAACTTTAAAGGAAAATATTGTGGAAAAACCCACAGAACAAGTGCATGTAAATCATATAATAGATGACTCAATTAAACATTCCGAAAAGGCTCAAAGTCAGTATCAAAGGAAAAGTCAACATCACTTCAATAATAAGCCTGGTCCCGAAATAAATTCTAATCAAAATAAAGACTCTGCCCAAATGAAAGAGGAATTCAGGAATACTCCTAGTCCAGAAAAAGAGAAGGGAGAGTTTACGTTATCACCAGAACCAGGTCATTTTCAAAGATCTGAACCTCCTGGTGATAGAAAAGAACGTAAAGTTGTTCAAGTAAATGTATTAAAGGAGCAAGTTGTACAGAAGGATGTAGTAGTTGAAATTCCAAAAGGGGATAAACCCAGCAGCAGTGTCAATGAAGCCAAACACAGAGATCAAACTACAAATTCAAACAATCCCAGTTTATCGTCTAATCCTCCTGTCGGAGAAGCAAAACCAGTTTATAACATGAAATCTGAAAACAAGAAGCCACAGACTTTTGAAGAAGATGGTGTAAGATTTGAATCAGTAGATTTAAATGAATTTAAACAAATTATTGGCAATGATAAAAAATCAGGTTCACGGTCTAAAACTAAAAACAGTAATATTTTTGATTTGGATAGTCTACCTGAGCCTTTTGATCGTTTCTCTTTGGCATTAGACAAAGTTAAAGGTATTTACAAGACCAGTAAAGGTACAATGAAGGAGACCGTTATCTTGTATGATGTTGATGAATTTGGTTATATTAAATCAGTTAAATATACCCAAACATTGAATGGAGATGGTACTTTCAACACTGAAGAGGAACATTTTCTACAGGCCTTACCAGAGCTTGTTACCCACAGAGAACAGTTACAACAGGCCGTTAAAAAAGGTGAGGGAGGGACATTAATATTTGGGAATCTTGAGCTTATCCTTCGAAATACTGACATTCTAATATTCCTCAATTCTGCGTACAATATTCTTAGTACTTGGTGATGTGTACTCTTACATTTTGATGCAGGTTCATTTGACGTACATGTAGATGTATATAGATAGATCTTCCCTTATGTACTCAATATCTATGCATGTATTGTAATAGTATAATTAGAACACTATAGTTGTCCATCCTTGTGTGTGTAGGCTTAAGATATGGATTTGATCAGATTTAGATCCAGTAGACAAATCATTAGGTGATTTTTAGAGCATAAAAAACATTTGTTAAATCTTTGTATTACAACATTTCTAATGATCAATCAAAGATTTGTAGGTTTTTGTATAACAACAGATCATGACTAAATGTAATACACAATTTCATGATCTTTTAATTCTTTTTCCTTTTAACAAACTTACATATATCTGTATACATGTAAATATGATACATGTATATACCATGTATGTCTTTAATACATGTGTAGTAGGAAACAAAAAAGGTGAGTGGTTTTATCTGAAGTTGACTTGATCGATGTAGTTTGAAATAGAAGAAAAACAAACTATGCGAGAAAATTGAGTATCATTACTATCAATAAAGGCTTTGGTCAACTTTAGGAATACATCTACGCCTATAATTTCTGTAAATAATCAATAATAAAACATGCATGTATAAAGCATTTAATTCCAATCTATTTCCAAACAATAGTAGCTATGAATTCTTCTGGTACAAAGGTATCTGCATTATTGAAGATGTAAATGTCATTATCCCTAATGAGGCAAGATAAAGAATGAGTCTGTTTTAGCATTTGTTACATGTATATGGATTTTCATGTCTCCAAAATATCTAATATTGATATTAGAGGTGTATATGTATCATGTCATAATTTCATGAGCATTCTATTACACTTTCACAGCACTCAACATACAGTGATTTGTTGAGGTCAAAGGTCAAATTATTTGTGGCACCAACAATTATATACATGTACATGTATATATATTCAAATAATCATCAGTTTATTTTCTTGGACCAACATTTGACCCCAATTTTCTAAATTGAATTTGACAAGGGCCTTTAATTAGAGCAATTTGAAGAAGGTTACAAAAATGTGTCACTTTAATTCTGAGTAAAGTTGAATAATATTTTATTTTAGCTTACTACAACTTGTACTGTAGAGCACCAGTACATTATAGTTTACTTTTTGGTTGTGTAATTTTTCACATGCATGTAGTTCATATTAAATCTTTGTAGAAGGAGATGATAATGGAAAAAGAAGGGAAGATGAAGACAGACGAAGGGATGATGAAGACAGAAGAGATGATGAGGATAGAAGGGGTGATGAGGATAGAAGGGATGAAGACCGAGGAAGGGATGATGAGGATAGAAGGGATGATGAGGATAGAAGAGATGATGAGGACAGGCGCAGGGATGATGATGATGAAGAAGATAGGAGAAGAGAAGAAGATGACAGAAGAGATGAAGAAGAAAGGAGAAGAGAAGATGAGGAAAGAAGGGATGATGAAGATAGAAGATATGATAAAGATGAAGAAGATAAAGACAATGATGAAAATGAAAGGAGAGATGAAGAGAATAGAATAGACAGTGATGATAGTCGTGCAGTTGATGAGGAAGAAACGAAAGTAGAAGAACGCGAACTAACTCCTGAAGAAAAAGAAGGTGAATATGATGAAATAGATGTGGAGAGAATTTATTTGCAAAGTTTGTTAAAAATCAAATTATGTAGGAATTGCTCTTTTCATCAAAACCTTGTCATCAAAGTGTTTGTTATGAAATGTTTGTTTAAAATTACTGGAATTGGGAGAAATTCTTTTCAAAATGATAAATGGTGATAATCTTCATAAACAACTAGATTGCTAAGCTACTGGTAGGTGTATGGTTTGTTCAATGGCAACCCATGTTTTATAGCACATTTTGTTTTATTACTATATTTCAGCTAATGATTTGTTTGAGAAAGGTGAAAGTCTTATACATAAATCTTATGAAAAGGACCATTCACAGTAAGTAAAATTTAATTAATAAATATAAATTAAAACTGCCTGTTTATTAAAGATACATTATGGGAGATTTAATAACGAGTTTACAGTTCTCACTATAATAGTTAAAAACTAGATAATGTAAAGACAATTTGCTGAAAATTTCATTCAAATTGATCCACTATAAACCGAAAACTAATAAGCAGTTGAAATTTCCGGCTAGCCTTGATCATCATTACTAAAGTCAGTACGATAAACAGCATAGTCTTGATTATCCATTAAATCGTTTAATCTCGAAGGAAAGTTATGCAGTAAATCGGCTAACAATCCACTTAAGATCGCAGGCTACTGATGCCATCTAGAGTTGATTATGGTCTGGATAGGTTAATTAATGTCTAATTAATAATCTAGATAACACTTGAGGCCTAAAGAAAGACCCGCAATAGACAGATTTAGCTCTTGCATAATGTGTGTTTAATCAACTAGTTTAAAGTTTTATATGTTTTTAATATGTCTATATTTTTCATTGATTGCACATTTCAGTTTGTTTTGAATTAATTAAATGCACTCTGTGATGTTTGAAAATTACAAAAGAGGGAACACCCAATGCATAATTATTAGTTCTTTCTAGATGTTTTTCAGAAGTGGAAGAGATTATGATATAATTTTTATGGATTAGTATTACCCACTGTCTACTACAATGTTACCCCCCGCCCCGAATATTATGGATTAATATTACTGGTACTTATTGTCTACACTAAATATAAAAACATTATTATGGATTTATAATGATATCACTTACTGTCTACAATTACTGCTAATGTAAAAATAAACCATGTTTTCTTTATTTTAGAGCTTATTTATACTTCCTCCAAGCAGCCAATTTAAACCACAGCGAGGCCTTAAATTATGTGGCCTTTGCTCATTTATTTGGAGATTACTTACCCAATAATGTTACAAGAGCTAATGAGATTTTCGAAGACTTGGCTGGAAGAGGTTCACCAAAAGGCCAGTTGGTAAGTTTATATATTGTATAAATAATACCAAACCAGTCATACCACATTGAAAGCAAATACACAACATATGATGTACAACAATAAAGTAGTCTTTGCAAAAAAACATACTGGTTTAAACATTATTAAAAACGATCAAACCTAATGGATGCTATTACTTTCTATTATCTTTTGTAATCATCAGTAAATGTCTAAAATTTATTTTATTTCTGTCTGTAATTGTTCTCATTGTCTGAATTACTATCTAAAGAACACTTTTCACGCTAGATTGTTAAATTTAAGTACATGTAATGAAATAAAATGGGATTTACTGTCATAAAGTTGACCACCTAATTTTTTGTACTAATCGTCAACATTATTCAGAACACGATATCCTACATAAAGCCTAGATGACAAACTGCCCTACGTGTTTTGAAATACACGGGTCGTAGGGTTTGGTAGCTCGCATACTAGCCGCAAGTAACTGGGTGAAAAATGTGACAGACGAAAAATCTCTATAGCCAGTCTGTGATTCTCTTTGGTGCCGAACAAAGGCAATTGATGCTTAAGACTCATGCACGGGTTTACTAAATTGCCCCCAGAGTAGCATGTACGGCGGATTGTGAGCTAGGCTTTACATAAGAAATATTTCTAGATGAAGTCCATTAAAGAGAATGGCAGCTTATTGACCCTATTTCCTGAAGTGGTGACCTAATTCTGAACTGCAAATGTCCCGAGAGGCAAAATTTTGATTTGAAATAGCATCCCTGGTTTAATGTTTCCTCTGCACCAACTGGGCCTAATGAAGATGGAGATACACTATGCAGTGCACTATGAAGGAAATTTTACCTGCTGGACATAAGCCTTTTCTCCTACTCTTTTTCAAATTTTAATTGTCAAGGTGAAATTCACATGCATGCCAATATTGACATAGGACTTCATTTTTTCGTACCATCTGAATGACTAGACTATGTTGCCAACCTTATTGACTCAATGTTTCTGTTTTTCAGGGTCTTGGTTTTCTCTATAGTAGTGGATTGGTTCACAATTCAAGCCAAGCAAAAGTAAGTATGAAAATAAGTAAAAGTTTCAAATTCATATGAGATTAACAGTAATTGTTTTTACGTTGAAGTTGAAAATATCATTGATTTTATAGTTAAGCCAATTTTAATACAACTATATGTTAATGTGATTATAAATTGTTATCTACCCTGAATGTCTGTCTGCCTGTTCATAATTATTTGTCTAACTCTACAGAGTTAAGTTCATTCTTAACTCCTTTAGTATTGAGGCAAAGATGGTCCCTATCGAATTTGATCATCTTCCCAAAAGCAGTTCTATATGTATATTTATACTCATCTACCGAGTTCAATACTTCTTCAATTTTCATAAACATAAACATTACAGATTTTGAGCATTTCACGTAAAAGTACTTCTAGAGTTATCATCCTTGATACCATTGATGTGAATTAGTACATTACATACTCTTATTTAACCTTCACCGATTTGCAAGAAAAATTGATTCCTATTAAATTTGAGTTTTTTTGCCTAGGACTGATGATTGTTGATTAAAGGATATTTCCCTATTGTACTCACTCACAAGAATCGACTCTTGTCCATTAGCTATAGTACAAATCCCTAATGTCCAAACAGACAAGAGGGTCTTATTACAGCCAGGATGATAAAGTTGGTGGTGGGGGAGGGGGGGGGTAAGTTACTCGGACCGGACATTTTTTTTTACATAGAGAGTCCTTTATGATGACATGAAATACAGTTTGTATGCTCTTTTGATGATTATTGATAATTTCTATGTAATTTTATATTTGTAGGCCCTTATATACTTTACCTTTGCTGCTTTAGGTGGAGATCCATTAGCTCAAATGGCACTGGTAAGTCAAGTTACATTTGTAGCTTAATCAAGCATTTTAACTTGGCCCAGCTGATTCACTAATCCAATTTATGTAAAAGTGAATAGAAAAACCAACTTTATATTTCATATTTTGAATATTTATTTGAAGTAAATGTATGTGTAATGTACATAATGCAAGAGAGCATTTTTAAGACAAATTATAATATTGTGAAAGTATCTTCAAGTCAGAGTTCATGAGTGACGTAATACTAATTCAGATGTCTACCAGCTCAACTATGAATAGCTGTAGGGTATCTATTTCTAGAATTGCATTTTTCACAGTAAATGCTACCAATTTAACTAAAGAGATAAACACTATAGAATCGACTAAATATAAACAAGAAAATTGAAACTATTGAAGATGTACAACTTGATGAATGTCAAGAGCATTTGATAGTTTGTTTGTAGAATTGGTATTTTAATTTTTGCCATACCTAATAATTGTATTGATATTTCTGATTTATATTTACAGGGTTACAGATATTCGGCTGGTATTGGTGTTGAAATGAAATGTGAAACAGCTCTTCCATATTATAAAAAAGTCGCCACTACAGGTACAGTAAGGTTTTAATCTAACTTGGAGTTTTATCTAAGAGGATAAGCAGAAACAAGTGAGCCAAGATTTATGATGAGAATCAAACCTTTTGCCAGTTTGTCCACACTGGTTCCTTTTAACTAAATTATTTGAAGATGGGAATTCTGCTTATGCCAAGTTCTGGCTGTTGTGTGATGCGTTATGATAGGATTGTCCAAGTTGACTCCACGATGTGCTACGTGCAGATACGTTTCGATACAGTCAACATGATTGCTACTATTTCAATCGTAGTGCGAATCAAGATACTTGGAACCTAGCTTAAAGGATTTCTATTACAGAATGTACTGTCATTCATGACTTTTCAATAGCTCCTTTTCTAAGTTCACTTCCATTATCTCGGCGAATTCCATACCGACTTAGCACAAAGCAGTTTTAAAATTCATAAGATTAAGAATCCAATGAAATTGGCAGTTTCATGTCCTTTTAAAAAAAAAAATCTTCTTATTTTGAAAGCATAAATTTGTGATTGTATACAAGATAAAATATACTGATAGACTATAAAACATACCAGAATTTCTAATACTTTTAGTGGAAAATGTTTGTTTTTTAAAAAACATTTCATAATATAGATTACAAAGAGCAAGGTTATACATTCTATCATGCACACAATTTCCAAATAATGAATAGAACTTTGATTACAATACGATCCCAAAGAATGTATTCCCCCAATATATGTAAGCTTTTATTGTAAATATATTGTAGTTGCCAATTCAGTAAAGGAGACAGGAGGTCCGATAATACAGCGTATTAGATTACAAGATGAACTGGAAAATCAAGGACAAAATTCACCATTATTAGATGATGATTTGTTACAATATTATCATTTCTTAGCTGATAAAGGAGATGTTCAAGCTCAGGTATATATACTCAGTTCAAAGAAAACTATAGATGGGCATCAGGTGCCACCCAGGCTTCTCATATTCCCAGTAGCTCTATCCTTACGTGACTGAGAGATTACAGATCAATCAATTTGCATATGAGAAAATTCAAATAATTTACTTTTAATTACACTTAAATGATTTATTTTTTAAATGAAAGTTAAAACCAAATTGTGGGGTTTATCTCCTGTTAAAGTGAAAGAAAAAATTGACATAAAAACTTCATTAATACAACTCATTAATGGAGATACCTAATTATTGATCAACCCCACAAATGGTATGAATTTTTAGCCTATGTACAAATGATTTGACAATCATGTGTTAGGCCATGTAGAAATGAAACCGAATTATTTCAGTATTTTCTGGAGAAATAGTGTACAAGTAAACAATCTGATATCAAATGAAATGATGTTTAACATCCTGCTCCGACTGAGCTAAAGAAGACAGTGTGCTACAAGGGAAATTTTGCCTGGACAGCACGGCTACAGCCTTTTACATGCACCAAAGTGTACATGGGGCCTCTGCTTTTCATCCTATCTGAACAGCTATATGTTGTCCCTTGCCAGATCCTCCGTCCTGGACCAATGTCAAGGGGAAACAACGCAGTAAAATGACGAAGAACTTTCTCGGCCAACGCAGGGATCGAACACAGGACCTCCAAGTTAGCGAGCAAACGTCTTACCCACTGAGCAGGGCTAGAAATTCGTCATTTTTTGCGAGAATCTAAGAGGATTCTCATACATGGAATCTGCGTGAATCCTCCGAATCTTAATTAATAATACTGTCTAAAAAAACAAAATTGTGTTTATTGTGATAATCTAAAACACCAAAATACAACAACAATGATAAAAAACCCAATCACTTAAATTGTGTCAAAAGTAATATTCAGAAAATGCCATAGTCAAAATAAGCTGATACAGCACCATGGCATTTCTTCATAGAACAATTTGTAGTCTTTTGTCTATCACGCAACTAGTCATGTAACTTGCAAAAGTTTTTATTCATTTGTCGATGATAGACAAACTGCACAATGATCACGTGACAAAATAAACTTCGGTATGACTATGATATAGCCTTCAATAATATTTTTTAAATTAAGTCTCTGTCAGCATGTATATAAAATAAAAAATCATAACGGTAAACGCTATTTAGAACTGGTTTATTGACCTAATTCCAACCAATATGTCACGTGTCATTGGAATTCGACATTCGAGATATCCACTGTTTCTCTCTCCGTGTATTCGGTGTTCTATCAGGGGATTATATTCAATGCAAATTTAAATTTAACTAACAACTGGTTGGTGTATCCATCAATGTATGATCCAGTTATTATTTTAATACCTGGAATTCACACGGACGGAGCGAGGAAGATGCGCGATTCGCAAACCATGCCGAGATCGTCTTCATTCACCATGTGCGTATTTTACCGGATTATCAAAATCGCCGTTAAATGTGCTAATTACTCGAATTATGAACCACATATGGCCGATTCGCACTAAGGTATGACTTGTTGTAGCCGACACTTCTTTATTAACAAGTAATAATTAACGCGTTGTAATATTAGACAAAAAAAGACAAGTAGATTGATTTATGATACCATGTGGCCCATTCATTGTTTTACCAATCGGCTAGATTAAACATCAATCGGCTAAATCCCACAATTAACCCTGACTGACATTCAACAGTTGGACTCGAGAATTCTCCAAGATTTTTTTTTTTTTAAGAAAAATTTTACGCGAATCTTTATAGATTCGCAGCGTAAGCTCTTGCGAGAATCCTTGCGCGAATCAGATTCGGAGATTCGCATGAATTTCTAGCCCTGCTGAGCCACTGTGGCTCCCCTCATATTGATCTATATTTTGATAATCATACTATATATATATATACATTGCATCATTATGTTTTTTATATATTGTAGGTTGTTTTAGGTCAATTGTATTATCAAGGTGGAAGAGGTGTAGAAATAAATCATGAGGTAAGTCAGTTATGACTGAAATTTAACTTAATATCTACCAGTACATGTATATTCAAAACAGTTGTTTATCCTTCTGGATAACAGAATGGAAGTGATATTGATGCAGATATGTTCTATACTGAGAACACTTTTACATCCTTGAGAACTACTGTATATAAAGGAGTATTTTGTACCCAAACTCCTTCCTGTTGTCATTGTTGTATACATAACTTCTGTCATTGCCACACACAAGAGGTTTTACCTTTTACTGATGTGTGCATGGACATAGTTAACCAGAACTTGAGTGTAGTCATAAGAGACAACCTCAAAGAACTTATAAACAGGTCACAATTCTATGGAATACAATTACTGCTTACATCTCACTTCTACTCGTTGCCATTGGCAACCTTTGTTAAAACTGTCCTGTAGTGGCAACCTGTGTTAAAACTGTCCTGTTTATTTTCAATACATGCTTAAAAGTATCCATGTATCAGAAATGTACAGAAAGAGTACTGTTCATTTCTAATACACGGATACTTTTATACTGTTTTAGATACCTATCAAGCAATAAGTAGCAGACGTTTAGTCCGACCCAGATCGCAATTGATAAGGATAGCTCTAAACAATGCTCAAGGATAATGTACATGAAATAACTAGTCAAAATCATAGTAACAAAACAAACCAGGGGGAACTACATGGCAGTTCAAAAACATATACAATGACATTAAATTAACATAACAACATATTACAAAAATCAATTATTATACATATCAATTGGCATCTATTTCATAATTTGGTTTGATTTATATTAATATGCAAAATATATAAATTAGAATATTGAATAATTATTTTAATTAATTGTGATGATAGAAGGCACAGTTCTCTTGCTGGACACTTCACAGGCATTGAAAATAAGCAGGATGAAAAAAAAACGCCTAGAAAGTCATAAATTTTGTTACAAATAAATTTCAACGGAAGAACCATCCGCCGATGCATACTTTCACCAGGAATGACCCGCAATTCGTATTTCCTTTACACTACATTTAATAATATCGCAGTCCTCTACACCATAGACAAGTTGTTTTGACGATGTGGTCTAAACAAACACGTGATTGTTTTACGCTTAGAGTATCATATCAAGACGCACATGTAAATACTACTCAGGTCGTCTCTCCACTGCAAAATCATTCTACCATGAAATGTAACGTGAGGCTCAGAAAGAGCAGAAAGTATTTGTCACTTTTCGGTTGAAACGACTCGATAATAAATACTATTTTTCACATTTTGCTTCACAATACTCGATTGAAATGTGTTGTAAGTAAGTTATTAGCACCTTTCCTCGGTGTATCGTCAGGACAGTTTTGGTCGGCTGGGCTCGTCGACCAAAACTGTCCTGATATTCACCGATACACCTCGGAAAGTGTGCTAATAACTATTACTTATTACTGAGCGACGTTTCGACTGAAAGAACTTATCACCATATGCATACCCTATTCTGATGACACAAGCTTCTCTAGTGTAACACCTTCCAATGATCTTAGTGATAGAGTGAGATTCACTTCAGACTAGTGAGAATCCCGGCATCGTGTTTAGCCTGGGGTGATCATCAATTATTTTACACAATCACTGTATTTAAGAGTTACTTCCCCTGTATTATTGAGATAAAGTTTGATTTTGCCAAGATACTTCAAGTTACTGACAATTTTCAGTTCTATTTGAATGACATAGTGTAATAACTTGATCTTTTATTTTGTAGCAAGCACTACATTATTTTCTGATGGCAGCTGAATCTGGTAATGCCAATGCTATGGCATTTTTAGGAAAGGTTTGTAGGCCTACTATTTTATAGTTTTAAAAAAATGAGCAATGGAATTCCTAAAAGTTATTTTAAGAACATGTCAGTATTTCTTCACGTAAATTGACCAATGGACACCAAGACATTTTTGCCAATATTTAACTTGAGCGGACATGACCGGCATAAATGGCTGAGTAGAAACCCATGGTCAGAAGGCACCAAATCTTCACAATTTGATATGTGTAATATATTTAGTTTATGTTAAACATTGACGAGGGCTTCATTATAACCAATTTTAGCAGTTCCTCAAAATTTGAAAAGATCTGATGAAAACTCTGACCTGTAGAATTTGTGGATAAATGACGGACAGGATGATGACACAAAACATCCACATTAAATACGGGTCTATAAACTGTATGTAGAACGATTATACTATTTTATATATAATATTTAATACCTATATCTACAGATGTATGTGGAAGATAGTCCAGCTGTAGAACAGAATAATAAAACAGCTTTACATTATTTTAAATTAGCTGCTGATAAAGTAAGTACACGTAAACATAATAATAAAAACATCTCTACAGTATTTTATACTAGCTGCTAATAAAGTAAAAGCATTTAGAATATATAATAAAAAATCTCTACACTAAACTATACTAATGTCCAAAAGAAAGTATACACACTAAAAATATGACTAAGTTTTGTTTAAATCAACAAAATGTGATAAAACTACACTGAACATCTTTCTTGCATCCAAACTCAATATTTCTCAGCAAATAAATGGCAAAACAAATGGACATTGTACCCAAATACCGCATACAATGGAAAAATGACTTTGTTTGAAGCAGGACAAATGCACAGTGTATACTTTCTTTTGGACATTAGTATAGCTGCTGATAAAGTAAGAACAAAATAATAGAACAGCTCTACATTATTTAAACCTAGATGGTAATAAAGTATAGAGCATAATATAATATATTCTATGTTTTTTATATATTCTATATTGATGAACATAATTTCATTGCTAATGTTTCTTACTGTAATATTATGATTATGTTGTTTTAAAGGGAAATCCAGTAGGACAGAGTGGTCTTGGTATGATGCATTTAGTGGGTCGTGGAGTAGACAGGGTAAGTCTCTTTTCCTGTTATTATATAAGGTAGAGGTATAGAAATGAGCTTTACTGTTCGATCAACACAAACTAGTTTGTTTTGGGACTAACATATGGTTCAATTTTTAAAATAGAAACCGCTTAGCAGTGGGTGGAGTAAAGCCATGAGTTTGAACAGTCAACTCTACTCCTTGTCATGTACACAGGGAAAATTGAAACCATGCCACTTGGCTCAACGACAGACGTTAGGATCTAAAGCGCACACATTAGTCCATTAAGCCTTTCTATCGTCAAAGGTAATTAAACTTCAATAGATTTCTTCATAATTGAATAAATAATTGCACAGTTGACTAACAGAATTTTCATTATTGTGATGTATATTTTTATACATTATAGGATCATTCGAAAGCATTCCGATATTTTTCTCTGGCAGCAGATCAAGGTTGGGTTGATGGACAATTACAACTTGGTATCATGTATTTTAGTAAGTAAATGTATTTAATTGAAATATTATCTGTATGTACTGAGTAAATAAAAGATATGATCATTTATATAAAAAAGACACCATATCAGATCATTTAGATTAGATAGATATTTTACTGTGGAATACGAAAAATATATTGTGTTTATGTATTTTGACATTTTACAGTGGAATATGAAAAATAACATTTTATAATATGCTAAATTTAGGTAGATCTTTTACAGTAGAATATGGAAGATGTATGATATTCTAAATTTAGATAGATATGTTACAGTATTCTCGGTATCCCCAGTGGTAGATACATAGTCAAATTATCCGCCCTTGATACTTCTGCCATTTTTATCGACCAATCGAGTGAGCGAAGGGAAGTAACTCGCATTTTATTGCAACTAAGATTATTGTGATGAACGTAAACAATATTGGCAAGACTGGTATGTAAACTGTTTTTTGATTGGTTCGTAGAATCAAGCTACGATCAAGGGCAGATAATTTGAATTCGTGAAAACCCAGTGGAGTGATACCACTTGGGATGCCGAGAATGATGTTACAGTAGAACATAAACAAGGTAAATATTTACAGTAGAATATGAAAAATGACGTTATAATATTCTAAATTTATATAAAATTTCTTGACAATATTTCTCCTTTTTACAGGGCATAGTTTGAATCGCTATACTATTTTTGAACAAAAATTATAAGTAATTTTGATAAGGTTGAATTTTAGAAATATGAAGTAACAAAAATCTTGATGTAATACTGATTTGTAGTTGTTGAGTTTAACATCGGCTTCCACCTAGTTGAATATCCCACACAAGTGTTTCCTATGAGGAGCATGTCGTAGGTGTATAATAGTGTATTATTTGTAACTACCGGTATATATAGCAGAGGTACAGACACACAACTGTATATTTTGTGGTGTAAATATGAATGCGTTGTATTTGTTTAGTGTTTATTTAAATTAAGATTATATATTTGCAGGTGGTTTAGGAGTAAGAAGAGATTATAAATTAGCAGTAAAATATTTTAATTTAGCTTCACAAGGCGGCCATGTTCTAGCATTTTATAATCTAGCACAGATGCATGCTACTGGAACTGGCGTATTAAGAAATTGTCATACGGCTGTTGAGGTAAAATATGATTTTACATACATATACTTACTTATATGCTATATTGATTTTAAGTTAAGGATTAATATATAAATCAGTGCAGTCGGTTTGTTTGGCAGATGCGGGGTTGGATGATCTAGTGGTTTAATGTGTGTGCATGAAACCATAAGGCCTGTCATTGATTCAGGTGGTGTGGTTTCGATACTCCACTTGTACATGACAAGGAGTAGGGTCGTCTGTCCAACCTCGTGAGTTTTCTCTGGGTCCTCCTGTTTCCTCCCAGTGCTAAAGACCCCTATGCGCAAGCAAATTATTGAAATGAAATTGAACCATGTGTTAGTCTCAAATGACCTAGTTAAATCCCATCTCTTTCTCTCTCTCTCTCTCTTTGTTCGGTAGACGATATAAGTGGAAAAAGTTAAAAATGAAAATATTATGAAACAGAACCTTGCTAATGTGAAAAACTCAGATCATCGTTTTTGAAAAATATTCAAATATCAGGAGATTGTCGAATTTCCGTTCATTACTCCTTGTGTTACATGTATATAACTTCCTTAAAATATTTCTGATATATGTACTCTCTTTAGAGTGGAAGAAAAAGTCAAAACAATTGTGATTGCTTACAAGAAAATGGAATGAATGAATCAGCTATAATAATGTGTATATGATTTATAATCCTACAGAAAATAAATATTTGGGATAAATATTCATTTCATTTCATTAGTTCCCTTTATTGTATGCCCAAATGGAAATGTGACCGTATATTGCCGTCACCCCATCCGTCTGTCGTCTACATAACCAACAGTTATCATCTGATTGTTTAGAAGTTGATATATGTTCTTTAAATTAGTGAGATGAAGAATCTCTTAATTACGTCTAGAGTTATGGCCCTTGTTTCACCATATGAACTCTACAACGACAAAAATTTCATCCGATGTATATGAAATTTATATACATCATTTAAATGAGTGAAACAAAGAAGCCTATTGAATTTCAGAAATTGCTGTTAATTACTTCTAAAGTTATGGCCAATCTTTCACTTTGTTGAACCTTGTGAATGCTCGAACATCAAAAGTTATCATCTGATCAGTATAATAAAATTTACATGTATCATTTAAATTAATGAGACGAAGAATCTTATTGAATTTCAGCAATTTCTGTCAATTATTTCTAGAGTTATTCCCCTTGTTTTACTTTGCTGAACCTTGTGAATGCTTGAAAATGTTGGCTGGATTAGATTCCTATATGCTGCTAACGGCCATTGATAATTAAATCAAAAAAAGTGGATAATCGAGACTATGCTGTTTATATTAATGATTTTAGCAATGATGACCGAGACTATGCAAAAATTTCACCCGCTTCTTTCTCAGCTCATAGTGGATCAATTTTACTGAAATTTTCAGCAAATTACCTTTACACTATCTAGTTTTTAACTATTATAGCGAGAACTGCCATCTCTTTATCTTATCTCCCATAATGTATCTTTAATAAAAATAGCTATAAGAAATAATATCCATTTTCTTATTCACAGAAATTCTGACATCTTTTGCAAAATACTTCATTAAGAAGCATTAGCTGATTTGTTTTGCTCATTGGAAGAGAGTAAAGGAAACCAGACAGACTTTGAATGTTTATTATTTTTCCTTCCCATTGCAAATGGTCTTGCATGTTCTCTCCGAGAAACAGAAGATTAAGAAACAATGACTTGCTTAAACACACACAAAATACATGTTTTCAATTTAGTTTATTTCCATGATTTCGAAAGCAAGTAATTCTCTTGTGCCAAAAGTGAAATCCAACTGGCTTATGATTAGTCAGGTTTATAGTGTAAAATGGATTATTATTAACAGAAAACAAATGTCATTGGAATCAATCACTCAATGTGCTTGATGTCAATAAGAGGATACTTGTTGAAATGTCATGCTTCTATAACATTAACAAACCAGTGATTTATTCCTATAAAATTTATGTTCTGTTAATCTGTTGCACAGTCACTAAAAGACACTTAATGATTAGGGATAATTTTTTTTTTTTTTTGACATTTTCTAGCTATATAAAAATGTAGCAGAGAGAGGTAAATGGGCCGAGAAATTAATGGAAGCTCACAAGTTATATAAAGAAGGTCATATAGACAATGCTCTGTTTAAATATACATTTTTAGCTGAGTTAGGATATGAAGTAGCCCAATCCAATGTAGCATATTTACTTGATCAAGGTAAGTAATCTACATATTACATATTTTGACATTAAGAGAACTAATCAAGGTTGAAGTGAGAGTACAAGTACTCTAGAAACCATTTATTTTGACATTAAGAGAACTCATAGGCATACGAGCCAGGGGGCGGGAAGCTAATCTAATATTGGTAATAAGAGGATACCGGTTTAAAAGTCACGTCATGATCCAATTGTATAAACAATGAATTACATCAATGATATATTTATCGTTGATATTATACTGAATTACACCAACCATATACTTATCGTTGATGTTATACATACATATACAATTTCACACCTTCTTCATTATATTATATATTATTATCGGCATACTTATTGAACAAGGAAGTTACTCAAATATCTATTTTATTTGTACACATGTGACAGCATTAGGGAGCATAAAAGGTCTAACTATTCATTTTATTTGTGCCAACCAGTGAGGTGTTACAATAGAAATAGAAGATGTTAATACAACAGTCTTAATCATTTTAATGCTAGGTTCCCACTATTGAACTTCGCACCAGGAAAATGTGTTTGTGGCTGTAAAATTTTCCAAATTTTCTTGGGGGGAGGGTCCTACACGGTAGGCTCCGCTCCTTCCCCTCTCACAGACGAACTGTACTGCCGTCTGTAACCCCAAATTTTTTCAGACATTTCAAGTTTAACCCCTGTAACATTCATCGAGCCTGTACACCTATGAGAGAACTAATCAAGTTTGAAGGGAGTCAAAGTACTCTGGAAGCCTTTGATTTTGATACTAAGAGAACTAATCAATTTTAAAGTGACAGATTTTGCTTATCTGATAGAAAATATGTTCTTGTTAAACAATTAATTAATGGAGGTCAATAATAATGATTGACCTAGCTATTTCCATTTTTTTTTGTTATTAATTGTCAGCACATGCGCGAAATATTAGATAATCTAAGACTGTGTGTGAGAGAAACAAATCCAAATCCTCTGCACTTATTACATTACCGTGAAAAATGAAATCCCTGATCAGTGATACTATAACAACCCACTCTACCTTAAAGTATCTTGATAGCACTCAATAAGTTTACAGAAAAATGATTCCCTGTACATGACAAGGAGTAGGGCCTGTCCAACCTTGTGAGTTTTCTCCAGGTCCTCGGGTTTCCTCCCACTGCTAAAGACCCCTACATGCAAGTTAATTATTGAAATAAAATTGAACCATATGTTAGTCCCGAAATGACCTAGTTTGTGTCGAGTAGATGTTAAACCCCATTTCTCTCTCTCTCTCTCTCTCTCTCTCTCTCTCTCTCTCTCTCTCTCTCTCTCTCTCATAGAAAAATTCTGGGATAAGATGAATATTTTTTGCAAATTGCTCATTAGAAATTTGTAATTTTTCTTAATAAAGCTCACTGATATATCTAGAACAGAACTCATTTAAATAATCATATTCCTGCGTGTGAATTCATATATTCTACTCTCAGTTGAACTATAGCGTATAATTTGATGATACCCAATTTCCCAGTAGTGTATTAAATTGGCCTATTTACACTGTCTAAAAGTTTCAAGTAATAATATAGAGCTGTTTGGAAATGATTGCCTCCAATTTTTCATTGTGTTTCCTATCCTATTAAACATGACTGTTTAATGTTTGTAAGTTTTTCCAAGAGGCAATTAAAATGCAGCAACATTCTATTCTAGTAATGGAAACTTAAAACAACTCAGAAATTCTAATAGTAAGTGCAGGAGGACCGCACTACATGCAAAATAAAAATCTACAAGATAAACCTGCGGAGAAGACAGAAAATAGACATTGCACCAAATAATCAAATATCAAATCAAGTGAATCGATTCGGTGGCTGCACACACTTTTGTGTCATGAACAGGTTTATCAGGTCCACTAGTGCTGGGTATTGCCACTGCAGTCACGATACAATATGTTTTGCGATTCAGGTGCTTCGATAGGATTAGTTCACGATTCAGGATAATATTTACCAAAAAACAACAGGATAAATGAATAATTGATATTTTTAGTACTGCTGATGTCGAAGAAATAAAACTGTTTTATATCATGATATTGATGGGGATAAAAATAAGGATCAAAACAAACTAGTGTTTGTGTACCGATGGATAATGTGTGACATCGATAATTGAACATACATTATGCAAGAGCTAAATCTGCCTATTGCAGGTCTTTCTTTAGGCCTGAAATCTTATCTAAATTATTAATTTAGCCTGCGATGTTTATTGGATTAGGTTCTGATTTGCTGTTCGACTTCCATTCATGATTTAATCATGAAATGGATAATCAAGACTATTTTCTTTATCTTACCGACTTTAGTAATGATGATCGAGGCTAGGCCGAAAATTCAATTGCTAAAATCTTGGTTCAGAGAGGATCAATTTGACTGACATAGTGAGAACTGCCAGCTCTTTATCTAATCTCCAATAATGTATCTTTAAGAGTGGCAGGTTACTTACTGAAGTGACAACAACAAAAAAAACATGAAAAAAGAATCCCGATACATCAATTCAGCATCTCATGATGATTCAATACACGAATCGTGAGAAGGTGAATCTCGATACATCAATTCAACGATATATCGTGCCAGCACTAAAGTCCACCTGAGAACTGAGTTTTAGTATTTGTTTAACAATTACTTGGGACTAGAATAAAGGTTTTAAAATCCTTTTCAAGAATTAACTGGTTTTAGCCTGAAATATATCTGGTTAGTATATATGACTATTGACATTTTTTTCAGGTGAATCCAGAATATTTTCAGACCTGGAAACATATCAGAGAGCTTTATTACAATATACTAGAGCTGCTTCACAAGGTAAATAATACATCAGTTTAAATTCCAGATTTTCTTTTTATCATTTTTATAAGTCTACCTTGAAACATGGCATGGCCTATATTGCTGTTTCCCCTGTCTACATACCGATCTAACTACATAAATAATTCAATCTTTTATATTGCATTAGTTAGATGAAGAAGCCTATTGAATCGAAGCAATTTCTGATTATAGCTTCTTGGATTATTGCCCTTTTTCCCTTTATACAAATGGTTATTTTCATTGTTGAGATTAGTGAAATGGAAAAGCCTATTGAATATCAACTATTTCTTTAAATTGCTCATTTCATCAAATGCTTTACATTCTTTGTCTCAAAAATTGCTGTAAATTCCACGTCTGATGTACAGGTTCGATTATTGCAATGAATAATGATTGTGATTATTTCTAATATATATTGAGTTATTGCCCTTTTCTCTAAAACATTGTGAAGTTATTCTCAACATATCAGATTATTTACTTAAATTTTTGGGAAATAGCTTTTGCTGGGACCCTACATGATTTATTGCCATTGTAAATACTCTACGACTACAGGTCAAAAGATTCAATTTTTTCTTTTAAAAATTTCTTGATTTATTGTGTTAGTAATTTGCTACTGCCCTTTTGTTCCCTTGCAATTCTAGTTTTTGACATGAAATATCTTTAACTTATTTCTAATCGTCCATAATCAAGAACAGTATGGTATTTTATTTTAGTTTACAAGTACTTGCTTCTGTGAATGGATGAATAGAATTTCTGTTTGTTTTCTAGGACACTTTCATTAAATGTATCGGGTGAACATATTGCTTGAATGGAGACTAATGAAAGCACAACATGCATTCATCCATTGTGAAATGATGGTCTAAAAGAATAGAATTTCTACTCATTATCTTTCAGGAAGCTTTTCAAAGTTTTAAGTGACAAGATGTATCTATTTGAAGTCTTAATTCAAAATATGTGTACTGCTACATGATACAGTTTTACTAAAGTTAATTGCTTAATGGCAGAATCCATTAAGCGTTTTAAGAGTGTCGGTTTTATTTAGTTTTATTGTTCTCAATGTAAAGGGATGCTCATAAACATATATTTTTTTCTGATTTGATAAGGTTCCACTGTAGCTCGAGTTAAAATGGGTGACTACCATTATTATGGATATGGCACAGAGATTGATTACGAGAGCGCAGCCATTTATTATCGCTTAGCAACAGAACAACAACATAATGCTCAAGCCATGTTTAATTTGGGTTATATGCATGAAAATGGACTTGGATTAAAACAGGTAATTATAATTAATACGATCTTGATATCGTTACAATGTAAATGACTTGTCACTTGTGGAATAATAAGGCTTCAATTATGATCCAATCTTTATATTGGTTGTCTGTCCTTTGGAAAAAGGGGGGGTTGGATGGCCGAATGGTTAGCACGCGCGCGCTGTATCATACGATCAGGCATTGAGTCAACTGGCGGGGTTTCGATTCCCTGGTTGTACGTGACAAGGAGTAGGGTCGCTGTCCAACCTCGTGGGTTTTCTCCAGGTCCTCCGGTTTCCTCCCACTGCTAAAGACCCCTACGCGCACGCGAATTATTGAAATAAACTTGAACCATGTGTTAGTCCCGAAATGACCTAGTTTGTGTCGAGTGGACGTTAAACCCCATTTCTCTCTCTCTCTCTCCCTTTGGAAAAAGAGCCCTATTAAATTTCAGTACTTTCAAATAAAACTTCCTGAATTATTCTCCTTTGTTATGAAATGTTTTCAGATTTTATTATTGAAAGGAAGAATCCTATTGATTTTCAATGAATTCCAGTGTTTTTCCCCTTTGCCACCAAATATCGATTGTAGCCTCCAGAGTTATTTGCCTTTGTTACAAAATCTTATTAGCACCTAGAAATGGCTTTAATTATGATCCAATTTATGGGAAATTTATATGAGGCTATATTATATTTGATTTATTCCACCATGTTTCTAAACCTTGTTAGTGCCTTAGTTTTATTAATTAGGATCAGATCTGCTCGAAAGACTCTGCTGCTGATAGACGTATGCTTTTTTGCCTTGTAAATTAACAGTAGGATGTTAAACTCCATTTCATTTCATTTGCTTGGTAAATTATGTTTATTAAATTATGTTGTGATAAATGCTGTTAAAGGGAAAACAGATTTTTCTTTCCCCAAATATTGTCATTGTTTATGATGTCTTTCCAGGATGTGCATCTTGCTAAAAGATTTTATGATATGGCTGCAGAAACGAGTGCAGATGCACAGGTACCAGTAACAATGGCTTTAGTAAAACTTGGACTCTTCTACGGATTTGATGTCTTTAATAAAGAGGTAAGGTATTTTTACTTTTTAAAGGACCCCTCAATCTTGTGTGCTGTGGGTACTCTGATACTGGCAGTTGGCAAATAGTTATTGGCAAAGCAAGTGCTTATTGTTGTTAATCGCTATATCGCTTCACATTCTAAAAACCAACAGGTGTCTGACAAACTTTCAGTTGACATTTTAGGGTTTCTTTCTTCTTTCATTTATTATCAACTGGCTAATCACTTTCATTCTATTACTTTACTTAAAGGGACTATCCCGATTTGAACAGTCTCAAAATAAAAAATTTGAGTACGTATGAAATTTAAGCGGGAAGGGGTGTATTTACCTTGTCTCAAAACTACTTATCCGGCCACTTAACCCTTTTAAGATTTCGCGTCAGTTTTTTTGTAGGGTAACCTGATAATCGATTCCCGTTCCTTTAGAGGTCTATACAGAGAATGACCCATGTGCTGTACTTGATACATTATTCACCGACACATATTTTTATAAAATAAAAGTCTGGTTTTATCCAGACACCACATAATACAACTAGGGACACCGGTGTCCATTTCCAGATGACGACTGACAGGTTTAAGTTGTTTGAAAATGTATCACATTAGTTGCTCTGCCTCAGGTAAAGGATTTTAATACAAACTTAAGCAGTTTTATTTTCCAAAATATTATCAGGATTGGCCCTTTAAACTTTAAGTTACCGTAAAAATAAGTGTTCAGGTTGCACAAGATGGCCAGATTAACCTTGAGGAAACTTGTCTATAGAGAAAGGCTTGGTTATTCCTTAACAAAAATAGCACTTTAAGCTGGAAGTTCCATTTTACTTGGTTTTATTATGTCTGTTTACACTGTTGGCAATACTTTCATAGAAAACATTTTGACACCATAGAATTTGTTAATGCTATTGGATTCTCCAATGTGTGTTTTTGGTTTAAAAGATAGCTCATTTGATCCTGCTTTTTATGCGTTTCCAGTTATATTGCTTCTTGTTTTTTATGCAGGTAGTCTTCAAATTATGTTCATATCAAATTACACCCTCTTATAAGTAAATCTATTATGCAATTATTGTTTTTCTCCTGCAGTTTGAAGGTTGGAATGGTTTTATGGAAAGTATTGATCCAAGGTTATATTTAGGACCTGATTGGGAACTCTATCTACTGGCAATACTTGCATCGTTACTAGTCATGGTATTAATGTTACGAAGAGCAGATTAAATCTCACCATATTACCTTACCCATATAACATTACACATGGTGCTATTTCAGTACTCTATGTTCTTTCTTATCAGAAATTCATTGGAAACAATAATCCTCTTTGATCATTACACGTAAGGCCAAATTTATTCCATCAAGAAAAATGTTTTGCTGAATTTTTTATTATTCAGAGTAGTAAAGTATAAAGTATAACATTATTTAATTGTGAATTGTAAAAGTACTATATATTATTAAATACCAGGTAATATGTAATTAATTACATGTACTATATTATTAAATACTGGGTATTATATAATTAATTGTACTATGTTATTAAATACCCGGTAATATTAGAATTAATTACATGTACTATGTTAGTAAATACCAGGTAGTATAAAATTACATGTACTATATTATTAAATAGTAAAGTGTAGAAATTACTTAATTAATTAATAGTATAATATAAAAGACTGTAGTTTTAAATCCTAAAGTATTATCTAATTTAGTTAAGTATAAAGTACTATATATATTATTTAATTGGACTGTATAAAGTACTTTATTATTTAATGATGTAGTAACCAGTACTACATTATTTAATGGCATAGTGTAATGTTATTTAATGGTATAGTGTAATGCACTATATGATTTAATGGTATAGTGTAATGCACTAATTATAAATGATAAAAATATATAGTATAAAGTACTTTATTTTTTAATGCTATAGTCAGAATTATCATATTATTTAAGGTGTAATATTAAGTACTTATATTATATGTTAATGCTATAGCAAGAAGTACATGTATTATATTATTCAAGGTAAAGTAAAAAGTACTATATTATTTTGAAGTACTATATTATTTAATGGTATAGTAAAAAGTACTATATTATTTTTTAATGCTATAGCAAAATGTACTATATTATTTAATGGTATAGCAAAATGTACTATATTATTTAATGGTATAGTAAAAAGTACTATATTATTTAATAGTAAAGTTCACAGAAACATCTTTTAGTTACCAGCAATGGAATTGATTTGATCAGCAGTATAATCAATTAGTGTAGGTTATACATAATGTATATTTGGTTCAATAAAATATTTGAGGTTATAAGACAAAGTATTTCAGTTATCAAAAATTGTACATTGTGTGTTGGTAAGGGTATTTTTAAACTAATAATAAAATAGTTGATGCTGAAAGAGATTACCTATATGTACCCAACTTCTATTATGCATGCGTAAAATCCTTGTTAATGATAGACATGTTGGCAAATTATTATTGACAAATCTCCAATCCTTTTTAAAGAATTATTCTGGATTTCTGAAAAATGCAAAACATATAACGTCTACTTTTTGAAGTTGCTTGCATTTCTCAATACTTATTTTTTAAAATTATATGAGATGATTGGTGTGGTTTTGTTCTTCAAAGTCGTTTGAAATCTATTATATCCAAATTTGTGTCAACTACTATTATGTCAGAAAACACAGCAAAACTAATATTATAAACACTTAAATATTGATTTAAAAATTGAGCTGATCGTAAAATTGTCATATTATTCTTTATCAAAAAATAATTTGCAAATCTGCGATAAATAAAATATGCAAAAAATTAACGAACTTGCAAAATTTTGAAAAAAAACCCAGATCGGTTGATTATGATGTGATGATTTTAATATAATGTATATAATAATACACTGTGAAAAATTCTTGTCATATAAATACACTTGTATATAGACTTATTAAAATTTATATAGTAGACAATTATTAGACAAACCGAATGAAAGAAACATATTATATCCTTAACTGTGTTACATTTAGAGGTTAGCATCTTGTTTATTAACAATTGATCAACGCTAATTGCAGCATGCTTTTCTATCTTGATGTAAAATTACGCAATCATAGATTCAGAAACACATCCGAAATATGTTTTATTTGCCAAACATTGGCTGTTGTTTTGTTTTTTTTATTTGTTTTTTTTTTTGTGTGTTGTATGCATGTGGTATTTTTTCGATGTTTTGCTGGACTACATTTTCCATTAAATCTAAACCTAGCAGACAAATTAAATTGTCGCTTTAATTTTTATATTTATTAAAGGAAAGCCAATAAACTTATATGCATTTTATGAATTTATTTGTTAACAGATATTTAATAGAATTTTGAAGGAGATATGAAAGTGATAGTTATTACTGTTCCATGTTGGAGATCATTATAGAGTAATTATTTTTTAAAATGGCACCACCTCTTCTTTGATTTGGGTTGTGTGCCATGATGGCTTAATGAGTAATACACTGGCTCACTAACTAGAAGATCCGATCCTAGTGTTGGCAGTGGAGTAGAAAAAAGGAAGGCATGGCAAGGAACAGTGTCTAATGGTTCAGAAGTGACAAAACTCTAAGGTCCCGTGTAGACATTGGTAGAAGCATAAAAGAACCCTTGGCAGTTGAATTCGATGAAGAGCATGTGGAAACGCTGCTATCTGGACGAAATTTCCCTCATAGCAAACGGCATGGCAGAATCCCATATAGCAAATGATTAGTAAATAATCCAACTTTTGAAATGAAAATTTAACCCATTGCTCCTTCAGAGTGTTTTAAGACCTTTAATAAGAACCCTTAGAAAATTGGCCTTTGGTGGCCATTTAATACCATTATATTTTTATGTAATAGACTTTTTTATAGTGGTCTCTTACAGGGAGTAAATAGCTTAATATACCTTCTGGTCTCCTGAAACGGTTTAACCAACATTATGCATTTATATAGATAGATGATACTTGAATTTTAAAATGATGCCAACCCTTTCATAGTTTTAGCTTATTGTGTGTTGTTTGATTCTTTGTTTAAAATGATTTGAATAGATAATTAAGGATGTAAGTAAGGCTTTTATAAATATGTAAATACTATATCTATATACTTTGTACATTTTTTTTTGAAAAAATTGTTTGTATATAATAATAATATATATATCTCGTGTTGTTTGTGTGAAAAAATGAAATGTATGTAAGAGTATAAATGAAACAGTGCTTGATATTTAAGACATAAATGATGTTTTAGTAATTCATTACTGTTTTGGTTTTTTTTGTCTCCCGCCCTTCAAAGAAAGCAGGAGACTATAAAAATGGGTCTGTCTATCTGTCTGTCACTCTTTTTTGGACACAATAACTCTCCTTTAAATGGAGCTCGAATGTTGAAACTTGGTGTAGGTGTTTATTAGGTGAATTCCTTAATAGAGTTCAAAAATTAGCGTTTTCGACTTACGCTAAGTAGAGATAAGCATTTTGATTGGTTGATGCTTTGGGACATAACTTTGGTTCTAATTAAGAGAGAGTGATGAGACTTGGTTTAAGTTCGATAATGGTCATTTTCTGCACAGGGTAAGCAGACCAATAAGCAATTTGATTGGTCGAGAATTGTTAACACAATACCTTTCCTTCTAATTGGGGTAGAATGTTCAAATTTGGTGTAGGTGTTTAATTTGTGAATTCCTTGATGAAATTGAAGATGACCATTTTCTGCTTATGCATTAACTTTGGTTCTAATTAAGTGAGAGTGGCGAAACTTAGTTTCATTCATTACATCAATACTTTGACTAAGTTCGATAATAGAGTATTTTCTTTAAGGGTAAGCCCAAACAAAGCAGATGGTGAACGTCAATTTCAACATCCGACTGACACTGATGTAGTTGCTTGACAACTAGAAAGTCCTTCTAGAGATGTGCTTTCGTTGTGTATTTATTGGCAATCTTTAGTACAGTAGGTGGTGGGACTCCCACTGCTGAACAAAAACTGGCCCATTGCTTTCTGAATAAAATAACGAAGCAGTGGACCAATCCTGATGAAGTCATTCGGTACTATTTGAGAGATGGAATGTGGCATAATTAGGTAAACATCACACTTGGGTAAACAACATAAAACACAAGATATGGCATCTCAAATCTTCATTAAGGATTGCCGAAGTTCAAAATGTTTTTTGGGGGTTGGGGGAGGGGGACAACTTCCCGAACCCACTATGCCCCAGTGCTTCACATTCCTTTAAAAAAAAATACCCAGATTGTTTGATTACCCGCATTTCCCTAAATTTCCGCATAGTTCCCAATTTCTTATCTCGAATTGAAAAAAAAAGATCGCCTATGCACCAAGAAACGTCAAATGGATGACAAGGCAGCCAACAGGGAAGGATGGAACGGAACCACGCAAGTCCATGTACACACCCTCTTCCGATAAACTCCAGTCATTTTCAGAAACCGCTAAAACGTAAAATAAAAAACCAATCTTTATTTTATTATCTGAAATAATTTTATTTTTATTTACATAACATGTCAGAATGTCATTTATATTCAGGCGATCCACTAGCCATAACATCAACACAAAACAAGAAAACAAAAATGGCAATATGTGTATATAGACTTTCCAAGTCGTTAGCCAATAGAAGCCAGTGCACACGAAAAATTATTAGTTTTGTCGGTGATATTCCTGCACCAGCGAATAACACATGACGGCTTATTCTAAAAAGCATCAGTTTCATGACGCCAGTTTCATTTGGTCTCGGGAGTTACTGGAATAATTATTTATCTGAAATCTTATCTTAGCCTACCTAAGAGCGTTATTTTAAACTTTATTAGTTATGGTTATTGTTATTCTAAACTTTATCACATTATATACCCCACGTCTGTACCAAAACAAAAGGTTATTTTCAACATTCCCATTTTTTTTTTGTATTTGAAAAGAATTGATCTGTGATGTCCGCGATCTGATGTTGTTACATTCAGAAATGCAAGAAGGAGACTTACAATCAAAGAAGACCTTCCTTTCAGTTTTCCCTTTAGACAATCTATTTTTGAAAAGGGTGGGGTTTTTTTTTGTTCTATGCATTCAGTTGATCATTACACTTGCTTTTGTTCTAAATAAACGTTTATAGATAGCGCGGTCTAGGCATATTAACATTTTACGCTTTCATTGGCCGTCTTGGTGCAGAACAGTAGGGGTCCTAACCCCATTTCATTTCATAGGCCTACGCTTCCGGACCAACGGGGCTAATGAAGACAATGTTCTAGGCATCTGATGACAACATAATAACATCTTTGATCTTGTTTAGACAGGCAATCGAAAACTTTATAAAGTTTTTCCGGATTTTTTTGTATCACATGTTTTAATTGACATTTTGATCAATCCAGCAATCATAATGTCATTAAACCAAGAGTAAATGGGGTAAGCAACCGAGAAATAAAACGGGATAAACCTGGAATTAGAATTTTACAGCCGAATCTTAATAGCGGACTCTCCCTAAATACACCATTGTTTGATGATAGGTCCCGATATATGATCGCGTTTTTGTTTATAGGCAACGAGTACGCTGACGTTAAACGTTTCTTATGCCATGATCTTTATAATTAAAATGCCACCATATAGGATATTAAGCAAAAACATATGTGTACAGTCGAAGTCCATTGGTAATCCATATTGTGTTCTTAACTATTTGTGTTAAAGATCAAATCATGTCTGATCTCTGAACATTAATATCTTGAAATGTTCGGAATATAGACCACAGTTCCAAGCTCACACAAATTCTAATAAGTATACAAATTACTACTTTGGTCTTTGATAAAGACATCATATATCTTTAGATCTCAATCAATTACATTCCGCAACCCTACCCCCGCGCTCCCACCAAAGCAAAAAAAAAAAAAAAAAAAAAAAAAATACTGCTCGTTCGGAATAACCGGGATGCACTATATGTTTCACCAATGATTCATACTTGATGATAAATACATAAGTTGACAACCAAAAATAACCCCTAACTTGTTTTCGTAAAGCAACAGACATCGGATCTTAGACAGGAACCAATGTTTTAAGATTTATGAAAGTGTTTCACATTCACCATTAAGAGCAAAACCATTAATCTTCCCATTAGAATGACCCAATTTAGTTTCTAAACATTCTATTTCCAAAAGTTTTGGATCTTTCAGAATGGAGTCTTGATCTTCAACCGTTATTTCTATTTTAGGTGCTTTATCATTCATGTATCCTTGACACCTATTGTCCCTTATATTTAAAGTGTTATTATCTGGAACGTTTGTGTTCTCAAGGACTTCCCCGTCATTATCCTTAAAAGCCCGTTCCTTATATTTGAAACATTTCAATACAATAAGAGAACCGCCAGAGTGGTGCTTCCCACTGGAGGTCGCCCACTTTTTGTTGCTTCCACGAGACTCTATCAGCGACTGGGAACTGTCCTTGTAGCGAACTTGAAATCCACGCCCTTGTTGACTACCGCCACTACTATCTCCACCAGATGACGGAGCTTCGCTCAGACGATATTCGTTCCCATCGCGAAACTCGGTCAAAGACTGCTTTCCAACCGAAGACAGGCCGGCTGATTGGTTACGAGTAAGGCTTGTCTGATACCGATATGTCCTTTTCTTTTGACAACAGAAGAATACCCGCGTAAAGATGTATCTGAAACTCTTGCGGAACTTGCGACTCATGATGGTGTAGATGAAAGGGTTAATACAACTGTTGAGGAAGCCACATAAGTGAGTCATCAGCATGGTAAAGAGAAACTGTCCTTTCTGTAGAAAGTTGATTCCGCCATGAAGTGATTGAAGTTGGCTGACAATACTAACTATGTATTGGGGTGACCAGGCAACAATAAAGGCTATAGCGATAACGATGACCATCCGTGCCACCTGAAAAAAAGAGAAGAAGATTAAATAAAATAACTAAAGACATAAATTAACTGTGATACATATAGTCTGCTTTGAACCGGTATACCAACGGTATACCAATGAAGTTAAAATCGGCAGATGACAATAGTGGCGGGATTCCTAGAAGATCGGAGATTATTATAAATGAATTAAGGCATATAAAATGGATATTGAGCGTGCGTGTGCGGTATGCCGAGTATGCGCCGCTTGTGAAATTGTTCTGGGGAAATTCAGAATGGAATACATTTAGTCAGTAAACTGAGCGTGCCCAGTAAAAAAAGGATCCCTAATGGAAGATTTTGGGCGCTGCCCATAGTCTTAATCATCTACTCGTAGCGTTCAATATTACCCAAGAGCAAATTTCCATTCACAACACGCTTTGGAAAAAAGGCCGCCATTTGTGTTCTAATGAGTAGCCGCCACATGTGCTTTTATAACCCAGTCAGTTATTAAAATGTAGGTATTATCACATATGTAATAGAACTAGTTAAACACGTCCGAAATATAATTTTAACACAGAGATCATTGCTACGATAGATAGGTAATGAAGATTTATAGAAACGGAAGTGACGAAAGCAAACGGAAAACACGAGTTATCCTTCTATATAACTGACTGAAGTGACGAGCGATAACAGATACACGGGCGAATTTCTGCTCACTAATAATTCCTTCGAAGACCAAAGGTTGTTATATGGGACTGTGGGGGGACATCTGACAATTCAAAAAAATAAATAATAATAATTGACAGTAGAATAGAGAAAACGAAAAAAATAGATGAAGTCCGTGCAGTACCATGTATAGAATTTATAAAAACAAGTGAATGTACGGGCTGTTTCTATTTTTCCCGTTTTCTTTTATCTAGTGACATTCAAATACTTTTTTGAATTGTCAGATATCCTCTCACAGTCTCACATAACAACTTTTACGCTTCGAAGGAATTGTTAGTTATCACTCGTTATTTCAGTCAGTTATATAGAACGGTCGTGTTTTCTTTTACTTTCGTCACTTCCGTTTCTTGAAATCTTCATTACACATCTATCGTAGCAATGATCACTGTGTTAAAATTATATTTGGAACGTGTTAGTTCTATTACATATGTGATAATGACTGACATCAATATTGTCTTATCCCTATAATTTAGAAGACGTCACAGTGGGCTATTTGAAGAAACCACTGGCTTATTAAACAATTGTAGATTATAATAACCCAGACGATTTAATATTTGCTTTAATGACATTGATATACGAAACTGTCGCACCTCTTCCTTTTAAAACTGAAAATAAATTCTGTGATTGGAAAAAGATGAAATGAAGCGATATAATCGTTAGTGACCGATTGCAAAAACAAAATCATGACCTAGACGACTTAATGACCGCTTTAACGACTTTGATTTTGAATGTGGCATATTCTTTCAATTTAAGTATTCAAAGCTAAACCTTGTGACTGGAAAGAACTAGATGGACCTTCAGCTCTAATTGGGTTATGTTGTGCCAAACAATAAGATAAAAAAGATTAAATAAGGAAACCATTATGAATTTTAATCAAGGAAGACACAAGAAACTACACAAACAGCTATAGATGAAACGACTGTCCCCTGGTGTTTATCATGATTTAATACACATCACAAAGAATTGGAATGACAAAAACTTAAAAGTCGCCGATTCCGATCTTCCAGTTTTCTGAGTATATCTGAATTTTCATGGCTTAAAGGAGCTAAGTCGCTAATATTTGGGATCACGAAATTGACACAAATGGGTCGCAGCGCATACAATAATGTAATATGAATGTATATAAATTGATTTACATTCAATCGTGTCTGTTTTTACTGTAATTTCTAATCAGTTAGGTTCGGCGAAATACGCCAGTATTCTCAGTCGAATTTCAATCTCTAGCGTCTGGTTATTCCAGTCTAAGCCGATATTATTTATTGGGCTTGCTCTCCAGATAAGAATATAGCGTCACCGTTTGACATGACTTGTGGAATATATCCCTAGCCTCGTTTTTCGAGTCCCTTATTACAAATAGCACTGAAACGCATTATGGTACACGATTCGTGTACCAATTGTAAAATGTTTATTTTGTCTTAAATATTGGATATCAGAAGGCCATCTTTTCCCGGCAAGATCACAACATCAATGTTGATTTAACACCCGATTAGATTTTATTACATACTTCGAGAAGGTATTTGTTGAGTAATAAAACCTTCTAGTAGTTTATCGAGGGCTGGCCGTCCTTACCGCACGGTACAAATATTATCACCACTAGAAGCAACAAATTCCAGAACAAGCCAGAACTCATACCAAAATGGCCGCTTTATACAAATGAGTATTTAGGGGAATACTAACCCGAACCCTAACCCTAACCCTTTTAAGAGAAGTAAAAACTAAATTAGACCCAAGTTCAGTCTTTTTAAAAAGGGTTAGGGTTAGGGTTAGTTATCCCCAAAATTCTCATTTATATAAAGCGGCCATTTTGGACTCCGGAAGCACCCGAACCTCGATAAACTACTAGAAGGTTTTATTTGTACCGTGCGGTAAGGACGGCCAGCCCTCGATAAACTACTAGAAGGTTTTATTACTCAACAAATACCTTCTCGAAGTATGTAATAAAATCTAATCGGGTGCATTTAAACCGACAAATATATCGTGTTTTCAATGTCGAAGATTTTGGATGATATTGAGTTAGTATGTATGTATACTGAATTATTTATTGTACTCAAATTGACCTGAAGTTTTGTGGTTAAGAAAATACAAAATTGTTTAGGGTAGAACTATGATTCATCTCAGAGTTACTGCCCCTATCAACAAACCGTAAAAAAAATCTAAAAGTAGGAGTTTATATTTTAGAGATTTTTGAAGGGTAATGCCCAGTTTTAAAATGTCAAGGCAAACGAAATCTTGCATTCCGTCTGTTCGCCTCAGGCTCGGAAGTGTCTGCTGTACGTTTAGGAAGGAGGTTTTTATTTCAAGAATCTGTGGAAAGAATAACTAAGTATTCGAGTATCGACCCTTTCTTGATAGTGATTTTAGCTAACACTTGATTATATTTTTTGTGTAAACTTATTATATACTTAGATCATTTGTATCTTGCTTTTTGGGAAGCCGATTTATATAAGCCATGGGCTGGTTTCGGTATCCCGTGAAACATTTTAAAAGAAAACACAAACAGATCACTGTCTGCTGGACATGACCAACATGTTTCCAAAGTTAACTATTACATTTTAGAAATAAAAGTCAAAACACATCATTCACCTACTCCAGTGTAAATATAGCAGTTAATGTCCCAAAAAACATCAATTTCCGACTGACGTGACCAAACCATTTGTAACTATAAACCAAACGACGTCACTTTTCCGGCTGACATAAGAAAAAGGCCTTGGAATAATAAACCCAACTATAGCGCAATTCTTCAGATCAATTACTACAACCTAACAGTTTTTGCAATGAAATCCACACTGGATCAGAATTCATGTTTTCGTGTGTCATAATGTTTAACATAATGGAAAATAAAATAAAATACTAATGAAAGCTGATACCTACTACATGTAATTGTTTTCTACCACCTTACTTAATACTAACCCAACGAAAATAGGTTTTTAAAAAAATTGCTTTCAATATTGCTAAATATTAGAGACAGCAAGGTCATTGAACGTCCACTTGACACAAACTAGGTCATTTCGGGACTAACATATGGTTAATTTTATTTCAATAATTCGCTTGCCCGTAAGGATCTTTAGCAGTGGGAGGAAACCGGAGGACCCGGAGAAAAACCCACGAGGTTGGTGGACAGGCGACCCCACTTCTTGTCACGTACAACCGGAGATTTTAAATCACGCCAGTTGACTCAATGACAGGCCTTATGATACAGTGCGCACGTGTTAACCATTCGGCCATCCACACCCCACACCTCCATCACGGACATATACTAACACATAATTACCATCAAAGGAACAAAATGCAATACAAAGTAAACACACAAGGGGAATTTCTGGCCATCAACACACGCTCATGTATGTAGGCCTACTTTAAACAAATATTTATTATGGGACATTAAAACAGATAGGTAATTATATATGTCAGATAACTGGCCTTTAAAACATCTGCTCCACCCTTTATTGCCAACACCATGGGAGCCATTAACCTCTCACTACAAATAGTATAGGTCGAGATACTATTAATTGACCACATTGACTTATGTAGCAGGATGCTGGGTTGAGATGGCGGAAAGATATTGAAAATGTCAATTAAAATACAATAGAAGTAGACCAGTATGTCTCGAGTTTCTATCCCGATGTGCACCTAAAAGAGAAGCCATCACGATTTTATGAAGTCCTGTTGTCACTTGTCAGGTGTAGACAAGAAACGTCTGTCTACTGGATTGAATAAAACAAAAATCCGGTGCCCATCGGTCAACATATTTCGAAGAATAGTAGAGGGACATTTATTCTCCATAGTAAATAAAACATGTAACCATATGTTTGTTTCAAAATGCCCTAGGATAATGAAGATGGATATAAGCCATGTAGTGTGCTATGAGGGACGTTTTCAGACAAATGACATACTCTTATTAAGAATTCCAACTGTCAAGGGTTCTTTAAAATGCACGATACCTCGGTTTTTGGTACCATCCGAACGACTAGACAACACGTTGCATCTCAATATATTCTATCAAATACAGAAGAATAAAACCATTTTATATACCATCTTCATTATATGCATGGCCCGTGACAACAGTTTGAAGGAGATTGGACTTTATACAATAACCCCATTTTCAAAATAACAGGTTTAAAACAACTTAAACACTGATTGCAGTCGGCAAATAACATTAGTTGTTCACATGTATTGCTTTCTAACGAATGCCACGGGTGTATGGATACGATAGCTTAACAAGCTAAACTAAATTAATATAACTACTATCTCAGTCAGGATGCCAAGCAGATCTGCTTATACTCCAAGAAACATAGCACGTTAAATAAACCCCAT